CCCAAGGCAGAGCTGTGGGCTGCCCAGAGAATGCCGGACGCTGATGTTAATATGCAATACCTTTTTCTTTAGTCCCCACGCTCTCTTCGTTGTACTCTCAAGCCTGCGAACGTAGAAATTCTCTTTCTTAGCACCCTGTCACTCTGATCCTTCGACTGGGGAGAAAAGATAAAACCTGACATCAGGCAAGTACTAGGCACCAACACAGGAAGGACGCGGCGGGGGTGGGGTCCTTCGCTCGCGCCGAAATTCAAAGGGATAAATAGTTCCGGCGGGGGTGGTGTTATGTCGTCTATGATCAAGTTGCCCTTGTAGCCCCCAAAGCTAGGTAAGGTTGGCTTCCTCTCCGCGTCGGGGACGGAGAGAAGCTTTGCAGGCGCCCGGGCACGGGCTGTGTGCGCGGCGCCGAGGCGGCTGCCCGCGGGCCTCGGGTTAGGCCCGGCCTCGCTGGATCGGCGGGAGATGGGAGGGCGGGAGGCGGCGAGAAGCCGGGAGGGGCCTCAGCGTTGATCCGATGCGAGCACAGTGCTCCTCCAGACCTGGAGGCGGCGAGGCGGGGTAGAGAGAAGTGGGCCGGGGCAATGGACAGTCTGAGCGCAGCAAGTGGTTGGAGAAAGACATTCATTTCCCCTGATAGTCGGGCAGTTACTCTGGATGCAACAGAGATGCCGCGGGAACTTACAGTGGCTTGGATGGACAAATGCATGTTATTTAGTGTCAGAGTTCATTGCCATGGAGAGGGACAGAAAGGCCAAGGGAGGGAACGAGTGGTCAGAAAGGGCCTGTCCCATGAGGAGGTCAAGAAGAATCTCACTCGGTAAGGTGGGATTTGCGCAAAGACCTGAGTGCAGTACCAGGAAGGAGCCCCGCCAGTATCAGAGAGAAGAGCGCTGTGGGTAGAAAGACGGGATAGCGCGGTAGCTAGAATGTGCTAAAAGTGGAAGACTAGACTGCAAAAACAGGTGCAAGAGATAACGACTTTCAAGCTGGGTGGTTTTACTTCAAAGGGGTGGTTAGCTTTGGTGTGTTTTTTTGGTACCGGGAATCGAAATCAGGACCTTGCACTTGCCAGGCAGGTGCTTGTGCCGCTGAGCTATCTCCCCGGCCCAGCTTTGGTATGTTTTTAAGTAGAAGGAAGGTAAACTTTACGTCGGAGAAAGTAGTCTGGCAAGTGGCTGTTTATTCCTCTTGCCCTGTCATTCCTGTTTCAGGGTCAAACGTTCTCTATAAGTCTAGGTCTACATTTTATTTTGGACAGGCCTAGTTTGTGGTTTGTTTGCTTTCTAGCGGAGGTTTACTGGCCCGACATAGTATCGGAAAATGCATATTAAGTCAATCATTCTTGAGGGATTCAAGTCCTATGCGCAGAGGACTGAAGTCAATGGTTTTGACCCCCTCTTCAACGCCATCACTGGTTTAAATGGTAGTGGAAAATCCAACATACTGGACTCCATCTGCTTTTTGCTGGGTATCTCCAACCTGTCTCAGGTAATGTGTAAACTCTCGGATTTGTATGAATTTAAGTTGGGCAGGGGAATCCTGACTAAACGATGGGGAATATTGCTTATGTTCTCGTCGTTTACATATTGGTACTTTTATGTCAGTTCTTCTATAACTTAAAGCAGCTCTTTAAAGAACTATTTGTTATCCCATTTGTTAGATGAAAAAATGGAAACTTAAAAGAGTTGTTGCTTAAGATCTGTCCTGTTAAGATGTTTATAAGTAATACCCAGATTTGGGGCTTGTGATTTTAAAGCAGTCTCATTTCACAGTGGGTACCTGCTTTTTGTTCCCTCCCTTGGGTAGCTGTGCCCTTTTAGCATATATTAATGGGTTTGATAGCTGGTGGAACTCATAGGCACTGCCGTCCCTTAAATCTTGCAACCGAACTTTTGTAAGAAATGAATAGAAAACAATTCAGAGTTGCAAGGCTACTGTAAAGGAAGGCACCTAGTGTGGGTCTTCCTGTCATCTTTGCTGTCTGTACCGGTGGACAGGACCGTTGTCTACTCAGTGATTACTACCTGCGTGAGTTTTCCACACCGAGAAACCCAATTTTGGTGCTCCTTTGTACAATATGGGATTTTGTAATTGATAAACTTGTTTCATGTTAGGTTCGCGCTTCTAATCTACAAGATTTAGTTTACAAAAATGGGCAGGCTGGAATTACCAAAGCCTCTGTGTCGATCACCTTTGATAATTCTGACAAAAAGCAAAGTCCTTTGGGATTTGAAGTTCATGATGAAATCACAGTAACAAGGCAGGTGAGTGACTGTTAAACATTTGTTACCCTAAGAACTTTAATGGCTGATGTGTTATGTGGCATTATGGCTTTGCAAGACGTGTGGGAGACAAAGTTTATGAGTGAAATTGATGCATCAAATACTAACCGGAGTCCTTAAAAATACTGCACATACATGTACCACAGAAGGTTGTTTCAGTCAGTGATAAAGAGCCTGTGTGACATTGGTCCCACAATTATATCGAGTGGTGTCGTAACAGCCTAGTTTTGTGTAGGGTGGCTTATGTTTACCCAGTGGTGAAATCACTTAATGATGCAGGTCTCAAGCGTGTGGCCCCTGTGGTTAAGTGATTTATGGGTGTATTAAAATTTTGATCATGGAGCTTCCAACATTAACTGAGGATTGAATGGAATCTGTAAGGTCTTCCATCCAGGGTAAGCACTCAACGATGCTTGAACCTTGAACCATACTTGCATCTTCCCTGGCTGTGCTTGAATATCTCAGTTATCTAAGACCTTACAATCATCTGAGATAACCATTCCAATTTGGGAAAGGTGCTATTAAGGTTAGGAGGTTTATGCATGATTGTATAACTAGTTAGCAAAAGTGCCTAAGTCAGAAACTGGATGTCCTGTCTCAAATTAGTAATCGTTTTGACTACAGCATAGCTCTTCTACTGCTTACCCAGGATTAGTTTTGTTTATGGTTAATTGGACTGAACGAATAAATGCAAGATAGCATATTTTGTAATTTACCAATAATATTTTTAAAAATTATCCCTCTTTAGGTGGTTATTGGTGGCAGAAATAAATATTTAATCAATGGAGTAAATGCAAATAACACCAGAGTACAGGATCTCTTCTGTTCTGTTGGCCTGAATGTAAACAACCCTCATTTTCTCATCATGCAGGTATTGTGGTTGACGTCTCTTTGTGTCCTTCATAATGGTTTTATTATCTTTTATTTTTAAGTTATCATAATAGGATAAGTGCTTTTTAGTCTTTTTTATTTTCATTTATTTGACTTTTGTTTCCTGTTGTAAAATTTTTACTATTATGTATGTCTGGGCACCTCTTAAATACTAAGTATAAAAATTAGTCAAAATACATTCATTTAAATTACTGAATTAAAACATTTTAAGATACTAAGCATAAAAGTCTGAATAATTTTCTTTGGAGACTTAGGCAAATGAAAAGTAAAGACTGATACTGTCTGGAATTTATTACATCACTTGACTCACGCAGCTATTCTTTGAGAGTCACAGCAAGGGCAGTGGCAGGATGCTGCTGGGACCTTGTGTTTGTCCCTTCTGTGTTAGTATAACAAAACCAGAAGTTTTAAACAATAGAGGTGTTTAGCTCATGGTTCTGGAGGTTTAGAAGTCCAAGAGCATGGGATGAGCATCTGATGCAAGCTTTGTTTTCCTGTGGTGTGGCAGAAGGCCGAAAGGCTATAGAACACAAGAAGTGGGTCCAGACTCATTTTATAAGAGGCCCACTTAAACACTGACCCAGCCCTAACATCGTTAATCCCTTCATGAGAGCAAAGCCCTCTAACCTAATCACTTACCTCGCAACACTTGCACTGGGCATTAAATTTCGAATACGAGAACTTTGGGGAACACATTCAAATTATACCGATAAAAATGTATCCCTGTTTGAAAACTGAAGAATTGTCCAAATGAATCTATATCCTAACTGATGTAATCCTCTGAGATTTGGGTGTTCAGGTCTTTGTTTTTGTAGTAAACGAATTCAGTAATTTTTTAAAAAATTTTTTGGCAGTAAAGTGAAATATTCTCTTTGAGATTTATTTATTTTTTTATTTTAAAAAGAGTAGTAAAAAAAAGAACAATAGCAGAAATTGGTCATCTGTTTTGTGAAGTTATCTTAGAGGTATATAAAAAATTGAGAAATATTTACTAATTATGCATCTGTATACATAGTTTTAGAATTAAGTATTTCAATGTTTCTGGTGTTAGCTATCTTAGAAACATGGTTTGAGATAACTTTGTTTCACTGAGTTATTTATATAATTTAATAATTTAAGTAATTGATATAACTGATAACTGAGAAAGTGAATAACAAAGTTCGAAAATTCTGAAACTGTGAAGTACCTTTGGTCACAAGTTTAACAGAAGTAACATCTTTTCATGTATAGGAAAAAAACCTTCCCAAAGGTTAGTGTATTGACATAAAGCAGCTGAATAGATCACACTGAATGTCTTTAGGTCACATTTTCTGTCATTTGCTATCATTATGGTAAGTCTGCCATTTTATTTTTAGGGTCGAATTACAAAAGTACTGAATATGAAACCTCCAGAGGTAAGAGTACTGTTTATGTGTAATAAAAATACCAATTGTTGATTTTATTTAAATCTTCTTTGTAATTAAAAATCATTTCTTGCCTTAAAATTCTTGGAAACATTCCTTGAGGTTAATAAAGAGTATAGGTTAATGTTTAGCACTGTGCCTAGTATTAAAACAGAATTTGCCTATGTAAATCCACTCTGCTTAACAGGCACTCATGTGAGAGTTAATTCCTACAGAAAAACCTGACAGGAAAGATTTGAGTGAAATTATTTTATTTCATGGAATAGATTGTTAATGGACTTGGTTTCTTTTGGAACAACCTTGAAAAGAGTTGGAGTGAAGAAATTAGTATTTTTTATATGAACAAAAGCTCTTTAGATGTATTTTTCTATTGAGAGAAGCTAATAGGATTGATGATTGGTAAGACTAGTTGTTTGAATATAGGTCATGCTTATTTTCTTTGAATAACCTCTGAAGGGGGGCTGGGGATTTAGCTCAGCGGCAAAGCGCCTGCCTGGCAAGCGTAAGGTCGTGAGTTCGGTTCCTGGTACCGGAGAAAAACCAAAAAAAAAAATAACCTCTGAAGGGGAAACTGCTAATTTAAAGCCTGACAAATACATAGACATTGTAGTGTATCCTCAGAAAGAAATAATCCTTTTGAGCTAGGAAGTGATTGCCCGTTTTATGTAATTATGATTGATTAATATTTTCGTTTTTCAGAAGGCTTTTCACATATATTATTTGCTCTTAATTTTTAATGATGCTATGAGACATCGGGACTCTGGATGGAGAAATTGAGGCACAAAGAAAATTTAAGTTCCTTGCTCAAGTTCTTAACACGCCTGCTAGAGTTCAAAGGCTGATGCATAGCATACTTCAGCTTTGTTTGCTTAAATGGCTGAAGTCTGATGAGTGAATTTATGGGTCTTGGAGGGAGGTATTATTTGGTAAGATGCTTAGTGGGGTCAGTCTATAAATGATATCATTAATGTAAATTGCACTGAGGCACATTTTGTTAGAAATACGATGTTAATATACTTGCTGTTCTAGATTTTATCCATGATAGAAGAAGCAGCTGGAACCAGGATGTATGAATATAAAAAAATAGCTGCCCAGAAAACTATAGAGAAAAAGGAAGCTAAGCTGAAAGAAATTAAGACGGTAATTAAACTCATATAAAATACTTTTGGAGAAGAGTGCAGTTTTGCATTTGGAGTTGCTGCTGTAAAGGGAGAAAAATTTTGTTTAAATTTTCCATATTCTTCTATACTACTTGTCTTTCTTGTTTTTTTTTGTTTTTTTTTTTTTGTTTTTAATTTTAGTGGTAATTAAACCCAGGGTCTTGCCCATCCTGTGCACCTGAGCTATATATCCCAACCATTTTCATTTATTTATTTATTTATTTATATTTATTTTGAGCCAAAGTCTTGCTAAATTGCCTAAGCTGGTCTTCAACTCATGATTCTCCTGCATTAGCCTTCCAAGTTGCTTGTGTTGCACGTGGTTTCTTAAAAATTTTTAAAATGGTTTAAAAGTTTTTGACATAATGAAAATATTGATTGTTCCTTTATTTTCCAGATACTTGAAGAAGAGATTACTCCAACCATTCAAAAATTGAAAGAGGTATGTGTACTTATTATGTGAGGACAGGCAGTCAGAATGACTCTCAAAACTGGTGATGTATCCAGAATCATGCAAATAGGGATGAGGTGTATACCATTTCTTGGAGATTTTTCTCTGGGATGAAACAGGGAATTAAAGTTGGTACTCCTTATCTTGGCTTTAAGGATTGTAGAGGATATGTATTTTCTATTAGGTCGTGATTTTGGAGAATGATCTTCATAATATTTAATTTTTTATTGACTAGACAAGTGTGACTTTCCTGGGTAATTAGAATTGACTGGGACAACATTTCTTAGAGATGCGGCACTCTTAGTAACCTTCATTGGTAGAGTAGATTACTTCTAGGGTAATGGGTAACTATCACTCTCACTGCTCTCAAGACATTTTATGTGAAAGGAATTGAAATAGAATTAGGTTTTCTCTATAATATTTGCACCTTTCTCTATCATGCAACTTGTCAAAGTTCCATGAAAGAATACTGAAGAACTTTTTATGGATATCCGTATAGGAATTTGTTAAATGCCTAAAATTTGGTACTGTTTAAGGTTGTCTTCTGAATCAGTGTAGATGATACTGGAAGAACTGAACAATTGTGATCTTGAAGGTTATCTCCTTTATCTGCATGATTAACTAGAAACATTAGCTCAGATATGTAAACCTTGGTTTCAGATCTGATTTTGCCTCATTCTTTCTAAATCAGGTGCAGGCATTCCTTGTTTAATAACCAGTTATGGTCCTGTGGTTGTGAAATGGATTGGTTACAAAATGAGGAATTGTGTGTAGTATGTACATTACAATATGCAGCACAAAGAAATGTTCAAAGGAAACTCCAACTTGATGACTTTGCTTTTATTTGGATAACTTTTACATGCAGTATTTAATGTGTAACAGAACATGAAACTGTAATATGGTACTGTATACCACAATCAGCAAAAATTATGGTTCTGTATAAACAAGATTACTATACTAAAAGAAGACATGAATGTTTTATAAACAAGATGTTCAGAACTGTACAGAAAAAAAGATGGATTGTAAGTCTGAATAGTGTGCCCTTGTCATTAGTCCAAACAGTCTTTAAAGAGGTAGGTCTATAAATGAGGATTATCTGTAGCATGGATAGGTCGTGTAACCGCTGAATTTATTTCTTATCTGAAAGTTAGGTATTTTACCTATTATTTAGTCAGTTTCAGCAGATCCTTATATGAATCAAGTTTATTATGTGTGAGCAAATGGTTTTGGTGTGCTTATGATCACTTTTGCTTGTGAATCCCAACTTCCAGAGTATACATATGAGAAAAATTAGTCACATAGGATTCGTGAGATAGAATACTACCTCAAGAGTCCTATTTCTGATGTTATTCAAATTTCCTAAAAATCAAAAGGCCATGATCATTTAAGTCAAAATCTATTAGATGTAATGGGAAATCTGATATGTGTTGCTATAGTTTGAGTTTGTTTAAAACTATAAATTGTGCTTTATTCTTTGATTTGTCTTGCAGGAAAGATCTTCCTATTTGGAGTACCAAAAAGTCATGAGAGAAATAGAACATTTGAGTCGTTTATATATTGCTTATCAATTTTTGCTGGCTGAAGATACTAAAGAGCGCTCAGCTGAGGAGTTAAAAGAAATGCAGGGTAAAATTATAAAGCTTCAAGAAGAATTGTCTGAGAATGATAAAAAAATAAAGGCACTTAATCATGAAATACAAGAATTGGAAAAACAAAAAGATAAGGTCAGAACACATAAGTAACAACAGATAATATGCTCTGTCATTGGGCTTTGTTTTCCATATTGTTTTGTTAATGTAAGGTAATAAAATAGCTTTAAAACAGATACTTCACATAGAAATCACAAAGAACATGACAGGAACAGATTTTCAGTAATTTGGGTTACACACATTTGATTACAGGAAATTGGAGGCATTCTCCGATCTTTAGAAGATGCTCTTGCAGAGGCTCAGCGAGTTAATACTAAATCTCAAAGTGCATTTGACCTCAAGAAGAAAAATCTGGCAAGTGAAGAAAACAAACGCCAAGAGCTGGAAAAAAATATGGTTGAGGTAAGTAAATAAGCTCAATTTCCACTAACGTACACTTGTTCATCCTATTAATACTTAGTAAGTACCTACTGTGGACTTAGTTTACTTGTTTAGACTGCTTATAGAGTAGTGGAAAAAATAGTCAGAAGTCTGCCATGTGGGTCCAGTCAGGGAAATGCTGATAAAATAAGTGAAATAAATGGTATGTTGGACAGTGATAACTGATGTGGAGGGAAAAAAAAAAAATCAGGAGATGATTGAGTTTAGAGGAAGAGGATATAGTTTAGGATTTAATTGATTAGGTCATATAGAATTACTGTTAGCTAAGATAAAAACTAGGAAGAGCAACTTAAAATAGGAAAATTAAGTACAGTATTAACACGGTGAGCTTGAGATACCTATTAGATATTTTGGGTGGTAATTCTGATTATGTAGCTCAGTGTATGAATATTAAAACCAGTTTAAAGAATACAGATTTGGGGTTAATCAGTGTATGAATGCGTGTAAATTCATGAGACTGGATATATTACCAGCTCTGAGTATATAGAGTTTTCAAAGGCCATGGTAATTTGACATATAAAAGTTAGGAGATATGAAAAAGAATGAACAAGGAGTTGAGGAGACTATAAGGGAAATCGTGTGTAAGTTGTCTCAGAGACCGTGTGAATAAATATTTTGAAAAGTGAGGGGCTGGGGATTTAGCTCAGCGGCAAAAGCGCCTGCCTGGCAAGCGCAAGGTCGTGAGTTCGGTACCGGAGAAAAACCAAAAAAAAAAAAAAAAAAAAGAAAAGTGGCTGGGAGATCCTGACCGAATTTGTTCAGACTTTTGGAAAACGACAGCAAAAATGTATGAATGAGTATGTATAACTCAAGTTTTATGAAAATTAAAAGATGAAGGAACTGACTGAAGGGTATAGAAGTAAGAAGGTTTGGGGGGCTTGATTTTACATGGAATAAATAACACTATATAGTAGCGATGGAGAAAATCTAGTGGAAAAGGCAGCGTTTATGATTCAGAAGAGGAAGAGGGAAGAATAGTTGAAGCAAGGTCCTCAGTAAGTCAGTAGGATAGGAACTGGCGTGCAGTTACAGGACGTAGCCTTTGCAGAGGGGAGAAACAGGTCATGCATGGGAACAGAAGAGTCAGGTACATTCTCTCCTTTGCAGGTGGATGAGTGGGCGTGGAGTAGAGCTATGGAAGTTCTCTTGAGAGTAATTCTGTTGTCGCAGAGAAATACACATTTGTGTTTTTATTAGAAAAGAATTAACTTCCCCAAAATAAAGTGTTTCTTTATATTGACCTATTAGATGTTATTGCACAAGCATAGCTATCAACTTTATGGTACAAATTTAGAGCGTTTCAAAGCACTATGAATGTTCGTTGCTTGCACTGAATCAATTTATCATTTCTTTTTTAATCAGGCTTTAAAGCTTTAAATGTGTGCACCTGCCTTGGTTTTGGCTTATTTTTCCTTAATCTTGCCAGGCCCTTAAGCTTCATGCAGGGCCACTGATTGCTCTTTTTTCGTCTCCTTTTCCGCATCCTGTTATTCTTCTTGATCTCTGAATGTTAGCATGCCTCAGGCTAGCACACAGACCTTTTCTCTTTACGCATGCTTCTTAGGCATCTCATCCAGCCCTGTGGCTCTAAATGCTGTCAGCCTTACATGTTGATGCCTTCCAAATCTAAACTAGGTTTAACTCTTTCCCTGAACTATGTGAAGTAGATTCATTGTGCACTGGTTATTGGCTGGTCTGAGTCCAGTATGACAAAGCACATAAAGTACTATGTAAATTTGTTACTTACAGATAGCTTCAGCAGAAAACAGCAGAAGCCTAGGATTTATTGTGAGTTGGTTTCACAAGGCCAAGAAAACCTTCCTTGTAGCAGATGGAATCTCATCTGCATCTCAGTGACAGCTGAGGAACCTCAGGAAGCAGCCTGGTCTGGGACTTATACCCTAAGGCGGTGGTGGCAAACCTTGCAGTGGGCTCTTTGTATCAGCGAAGCTCTCAAAGGTTTGCCATCATGGCTTTAAAGGGATAAGCTGCCAGGCTGAAGAACTGAAGGACATCCTATTTCGGGGAAGGACGGAACTGGGGTCCTGGCTAATGCAGCCAGTCTGTCCCTAACTCAGGATACTATAGCTATTCTTGAGAACTACCAGCCAGAAAGGGAACAGTTGGCTTAGTCCATGACTACCCAGAAAACTATCCTGCATCCACTTCCTGATCCAAACATCCCCCTTAACAAAACTAATCTATTTCCTATGCCTGTGGATCTTCCTCCAGAACAGGAGGAAGTTTATCTTTTGTTTTGATGCAACACCCTGACTGACATAGTACAGCACTGTAGAGCGAAGGCAGAATAGGGACTGTCACCACCGGCAGGGTGATCAGACCTGCCTGGAAGATGATTTAGCTTGGCTGTGGTGGTCCAAGTACGAACTTGTTAATGTGTTCAAAGTAGGATCCTGCACCTGGTGGGCTTACCTCTGTATCTCTTCTACCTTTGTCTCTCCACTACCCAAGCTATTTATGTGGTCACAGCAGGAGGTATTGGCATTCAGATACCCTCTTTTCAGTTGGGCTCACAAAGTTTAGAGTAGTTCTGCTGTCTTAAACAGCCTTTTGTAGGGAGTACAGTGATATCTGGATGGCTATGGCAGTGGCATTTGTGAAAGCAGTATCTGCTGTGTCAAGGGCAGGTTTCTCATGAGTAATGATTGCAGTGTATGATTCTCAAGATCTCATAAGTGAGTCATATCTCCTGGAACATCCTTCATGAGTCTGGTGAAAGTTATAAGCTGCTGACCCAATGGTATGTCTCATTCCTAACAGTAATGGCTGTTGGTTATTCCAGTGTACATGATGCCATCATCTGCCAGCTTTTCATACATAACACTGCCCATTTTGTATTTGAGTTAACCCTACACTGCCCATAGAAAAAGCTGTAGCTCTTCGATAGGCATAGCACCTTTTGCCTCGTTTTATTGTTCAGTGACCCACTTATGGGTGTGGAAGCGTTAGCATTTGCCATTTAAATCTCATTAATGGCGTAGCAGTATAAGCTCCCTTTCCCATGTGCAAGTGTGTTCCTGAGGCGCCTACACAGAGCACTAGCACCCGTGCAGTCCCTGTTTTCTTTATCTCTCCTGGGAAAATTCTCATCTACGTAACTGAAGGAACGTTGAGCTTCAGAGTACTCTTAAGATTCTTAAGGTTTCATTGATCTTGGTTGTGACATTTTTCCACGGTGAGGTAACACAGGGCACACACATTGCCCTGGCATTAAGATGCTTATTCTCCACCAGTGCTCATTAGCAAGCAGGGAGTTACTTGTTCAAAAGGGATGCGTCCGGTGGACACCTCAAACAACTTCTCTGTCCAGAGTCAGAGACTGGCACATCTGGGTGGTTTTCAGTCTGTGACAGACCATTGTTAGTCTCCCTCTGGAAAGCCTTTTTGATCTATCGTTCGGTTGTTATGTTGTAACGGTATTTTGTAACATGTTTTTGAGTAGCAAGTTCTTATTAACGAAGTTATGTCTTGTTTTCCATTTAATTTGGCATAGTGCTTTTGTCGAATAACTGGTCGGGTCTTGGACAGCTTAGCTGACAGGCAGCAGCTCATATGCCTCTGCTAAGGGCTGAATTCTTAGCTGCAAGGGGACACGTACCCTCCATGGTGGTGATGTTCTGCAGTAAAAGCGGCTAAAATATCAGTGCCAGCAATGTGCACCACAATTGGAATTGTGTCATTGGCACCCAGATGCATCCATAGGTTGCTGCCTTCATCCCTGTCCCTAATTACCCAAGTCATCAATCTTAGTTTTTCTCTTAAGGCAGTGGTGGGGAGCCTGTAGCCTGAAGCAGGCTATTTGTATGATGGAAAGCTCTGAAAGGTTGTCAGGAGACCTGAAAGAACTGTCATATAGGGTCCAGTACCCAAGAAGTCCGGAACAGTCTGAATTCCCTTTTTTCCCACTCTCATCCTTGCCAGGCCATTGTCCTCTTTTGGTATTTGGGTACTATCTTCCCACTCCCAGTTGTACCCCTGAACCATTTGAATCTGCAGTGTTCTTCTACCAGAGAAATATTATAGCTGTATGTATAAGGTTTTCTGCCTTTTCTCCACACCTATCCTTTAGAAAAATGAGTCTCCATTTCTGTGAAGGCCTGTGTGGTGTGTGTTGGTCCCCTGTCAGATGCTTCAAGGTCCCTCTGACTACCTGCTTCCTGGTCTGTGGCACTTGGAATGAGCAGTTATAGGAGTGCCCCCAAACCAGGGCCTCATGGGCTAAATTCCTCATTTCTACATTTCTTCCTCTCTGCTTCAAACCGTGCATATCGCCAGCTCATTCACACCCGTGAGAGAGTGATCCTTGCCTCTGCTTCCTTCGCCATAAAGCATCTACCGGATGTCCAACTCCTGAATCCTTTAGGCTTGTGTCTGATTTGAGCTGGGTTTTGAGGGGCCGTGGGTAACGCTGCTCTAACCTTGTCAGAAAGTCAGTCTAGACCCTATTCACCATGCCACTTTTGTGAAACAGTTTACTCTGCACTACTTTCCAGGTTTTTTATGTCTAATAGATAGGACATCTCATACCTAACAGACTATATGAAACATTTATTGCTCACAAATAGGTAGTAATTGAAAAAGGCTCAGGAAAGCTACCAAGAAGAATAGTCTTAGCTGTGTATGCGCCCTTTGATCTGCAGCTGGAGGACTCCAGAAAGCAGTCTCTCCTGGCTGTTTCTAGGGAGGGACTAGAACCGAGCATGGGCTGTGTAGGCCTTTCCCGTATTTCAGGAGATTGCATGTCTAGCATGTGCTGTTGTTATTGTTGGGAAGTGCATTTGAGAAAGGGGCAGACAGAGTCAGTCCAAAGGCCATCCAGAGAATTATCCTGCAAGGGCCTAATTCATTTGTCTGGATACTTAATTAGTATTTTTACCCAGCTGTCTAAGAAAAAGTATTAACTATGATAGAATAAATTTTTCCCGCGTGGCTGGGCATGGTGGCACAAACCAGTAATCCAGCACTCAGAAGGCACAGGCAGTTGGATCACTGGAAGTTCAAGGCCAGCCTGGGCCTTGTGAGTTCATAGTGAGTTCAGGACCAGCCTGAACCACATAGCAAGATCCTGTTTCCAAAGACCGAAATACATATATACATACATACATTTCCCCCAGCTATCCAATCCTACCTACTGAATTTTCTACGTGTCAGGAAATGGAACCACCGTTCACCTAATATAGTGCTGAAGTCCTTCTATATTCTCCCCTTTTTCTCAAAAGCCGTATCTTGCTTATCAGCAAATTTGGTTGACTTTAAAAGTATATCCAGAATTCAGCCACTTTTTAATACCTCCTGTGCAGCCTTCCTGTGAGGCTCCTACAGTATTGTCCTGATTAGTGACTGTATTTTTGTTGCTCTCTGGTTTGTTTTTTATAGAAACTAAAGTATAAATTGTATCCCATCACTTTCTGCTTAAAATCCTTCAGTAGTTTCAAGGTCGTGCATATAATCAAATCTGAAGTCCTTTGCGTGACCTTCAAGGCGTTTCAGGTTGTGATCCCTGGCTCCCTCCTACTACATTTTCTCACTTCAGTCACAGTTTCTCAGACACCCAAACAAGTTTCCCAGGACTCCACAAACACAGGGCCACACCTGATTGCATGTTAGCTCTTTTTACTTCGGGCTTCTGCTCAGATGTCATCTCACAAAGGTTTTCCCTTTTTCATAAAGGTGTTCCCACCACTTTCTATTCCCTGACCTTGCTTTGCTTACCACATCTTTACCCTACCTGGAATATGGGCTTCCAGAGAACGGGGCCGTAGTTTACATCTTCAATGTGTTAGAACAGTACCCCGTACATAGTGAGCACCTGTGTAAGAAGTGTTTGATGATATATGTGCTAATCAGGTGTCCCAGAATTTCTGATCATTTTCATTTAAATGAGCTAGATTGTTTTTAATTTTTCAGCGTTTGTGTCTTGTATAATATCAGGTATCTGGTTACAGTTTTAAAAATGTTAAATATTAGTAATACATTTTCCACAACTGTTTAATACTGAAATCTTATATTCTTTGATATTTTATGAAATATTTTTGTATACACGCTCTTAATGCTCAAATCTCTGCTGTTAAACTTCATGTAGGATGGCTGTTACTTCAGTTTTATAAGATTTAGGAACTAATTTTTAGCTTTAAATGGTTTAAAATCTGCAATAAACTTTTTTAGTTCACTATTGCCTGGATTTTACTATCACATACAGAATGAAAATATTCCATGTTATGTAAAATTTATATCCCAAAAACTTAAAGTGAATTTCAAAATGGGTATTCAATATTTAAAGTTAACGATACAAGGTTATTTTCTTTACTTCTTCAAGTTGCTAGACAATATAATATAAGGGCATATGCATGTGTGTGAAAAGTGGATGTTTTTCCTAAAGTACGATATTTACCGATTTGCAATTCTTCCTGAAGGATTCTAAAACTTTAACAGCAAAGGAGAAAGAAGTTCAGAATAGAACAGACGGGCTGCATGGCCTTCAAGAAGCGAGTAACAGAGACGCCGCGGCTTTGGCCGCAGCGCAGCAGCACTTCAATGCCGTTTCCGCCGGCTTGTCCAGTAATGAAGACGGCGCGGAAGCCACTCTCGCCGGTCAGATGATAGCCTGTAAGAATGACATAAGTAAAGCACAGACGGAGGCCAAACAGGTAAGTACAGGCTGACCACATGCGATCCCCCTCCCCTTTTTTTAAGAAGCTGCTTTTCACAGACTGCCTTGGCATTGTTACAAAATACTAAAAATAATCAGTGTCAAGGAACTTCCTTACTTAATTGTTCTACTCTACAATGCTTCATACATTAAAATTTAAATATATTGATTGCTAAATGATGATAATGTTAGATTTTCAAGGTGCTGTAGAACAAATTTTTATAGCTCATTTCATAACCAGAAGAAATGCTTTATTCAGTTCGTAGCGTTGTTTGAAATATTGGAAGTTAGCTACTTCATGCTCATCTTTCCTGGCTGTTGTTTTTATTGACATATAGCTGAAGTCCTAAGCTTTAACAGGAGAACAAAACTGCCCTCACCATTGCTTTGCCTATCATTTTGTAGTTCTTAAAACCTTTATATTTCACAGGCATGGGCTACAAAGTGAGCTCAAGGCCAACCTGAACTACATAGCAAGACCCTGTCTCAAAAAGACAAAAAGTAAATAAGTAGAATCATGCTTTTATTTTAAGGAATATCCTGAATTATAGGGGGAAAAATGAGTAATTTAAAATCTTCCTACAGTTCAGTTTTATAAATTTCTGTGACTGTCATCACTGAAGGAAAAGTTATGAATATGTCTTAATAGAAAACTTTGAGTAACATTAGTAAACACAAATGTTTTCATGTATATATTTTTATGCTGAGTCTTCAGTTAAAAAAAGAGAAGAGCCGGGTATCGTAAAGGCCTGCAATCCTAGCACTCTGGAAGGCTGAGGCAGGAGGATCACAAATTCAAATCCCCAGTGGGCAAGTCAACAGGATCTTCTCCTCAACATAAAAAAAGGACTAGGAATATAACTCAGTGTGAAGGTCCTGGATTTAATTTCCAATACTTAAAAAAAAGTAAATAAAAGAATGTACACACCATGTAGTATATGCATTTTTGTCTGCTGGCAAAACTGTTACACAGGACTTTAAATTGTACTTTTAATGGATTGGAAAGACTTAAAATCTGAGGGGTGAGACCAAAAGTAAATGTGAATAAATGTATGGCAGAGATACTTGCCTTGGAAATGTAAAGGTTCTGTTTGTTTGGTTATTTTTGGATTTTTGAGACAGGGTCTCACTATATAGCCCAAGTTGGCCTCGAACTCTAGACGATCCTCCTGCCTCAGCCTCCCGAGTGCTGAGATTACAGACATGCACTACCATGCCTGGCATAGCAATTAGGAATTTACTTTTTTTCTGGTGCTGAGAATCGAACTCGGACCTTGCACTTGCCAGACAGGTGCTTGTGCCACCAAGCTATATCCCCAGCCCAAAAAGCATGATTTTAAAATGTACTCTCAGTTTTATAAACTTCAGACTTCTGAAGCTTAGACGTTTTTAAATATCAGCCTCCTAGCATTTAAATTTCTCTTGGCAGTTCAGAAATTTTTGCTTTGTTTCTGATGGCTACTGTTATCACTTAATGGACCTCCATTATTATTAGACAGTGCTCAGAAAGATACACAATTATACATGTGAACACTTCAATGGAAAAGAACTGAGTTGTGATTGCTAGCTTTCTCTTGTGTCTTTAATTTAACTAACTACTGAGTTATTCTTACAAGTTTTCAACTTGGTTAATATGTCATATTTATACATATTAAAAAGTGTACTTATATTGAAAATTACTTAATGATTTACATTAGTCTTATGTTCTTACTCTGAGTAGTTTTTGGAGGAGAAAATAATGTGAAATGATTACTCTTTTGAAATAGTAATCCAGGAAACCACAAAGACACATTTTTCAAGGCTGAGGTCTCTTAATTAAACCTGTCTGAATCTGCAGCCATTTAATTACTAGTACTGTCTGCCTCATGTAATGTTATATTTTTCTATCACAGGCTCAAATGAAGTTGAAACATGCCCAGCAGGAATTAAAGAATAAACAAGTAGAAGTTAAGAAGATGGATAGTGGCTATAGGAAGGATCAAGAAGCTTTAGAAACTGTAAAAAGACTGAAAGAAAAACTTGAGACAGAAATGAAGAAATTAAATTATGAAGGTTTGCCTTTATCCTATGATGTGGGAGGTGGTGATTACTGATAGACTAAGGAAATAAGAATGCATGCAACATTATTTACCCTGTTAATAGGAGTTAGTGTATGAATTATTTATAAATATAGTCAGAGAAAAGAAGTATAAAGCAGCCCTTTGAATTTTTGAGAACTCAGTATTGAAAATTTCCTTCTTCAATAAGTTTAAGGTTCTGAAATGTCATTTGTACATTTTTACATGAGTAGGCAATTTATATGTTGTTCCCTGGAATGAAGATTTTGTTTTCACTGAAAATGTCTCCTTGACACTCGAATGTTAAGCCTGCTTTTTTATTTAGTACTTATCAGCAATTTAGGTTTCACATCTAGGAGTGTACTGGAAATAGAGATTACTTAAAGTTTTCTTAACCAAGTGGAGATTTTAGACTGAAGTTTCAATTTATTTATAATTTATTCATCAGAAAATAAGGAAGAAAACCTTTTGGAAAAGCGTAGGCAACTGTCTCGTGATATCAGTAGATTGAAAGAAACGTATGAAGCTCTCTCGGCCAGATTTCCGAATCTTCAGTTTGCATACAAGTAAGATATTTAAACTTGTATTTTAACTTAGTAGTAATCAATGTATATTTTTACTTCAGAAAATTATTATAATCTGCTTTTTTTTTTTTGGTACTGGGAATTGAACTCACGACCTCATGCTTGCCACTGACCTACATCCCGGCCCTTTGCTTTTCTTTTATTAATTTTTTTTCCCTTAATTTGGAAATGTTTCAAACGTTGATGTAGGGATTTTTGTGAAACTTGATGGGTACTGATATCTCTACTCTTAAAACCAAGTCGTTAGGGTAATTTAATTTTAACTCAATGTTTTTGAAGTTACTCTGTCTTTACTATTAGATTTATGTCTTAGTTTTTTTGTTATTACATGGGTTTTTTTATGGAATAAAGTAATCCTGTCTCTTTAAATTGTTTTTGTTACATTAAAAGCTTCCTGAAAAGATTTTTAATTGATTTAAAAGAGTAGCTGACTAGTCTACCTAGGACATCTAAAATTTTGTTTTGGCAAAAGTGTGTGATTATTCTGCATTCATTCCAGTCCAAAAGTTCTTGATTAGGAAAATACACCTGTTTCTGTTTTCTTCTCTAATATTAATTTTTGTCATTGTTTCTATATTAGAGATCCAGAGAAGAACTGGAATAGAAATTGTGTGAAAGGACTTGTGGCTTCTCTGATTAGTGTGAAAGACACTTCTGCAACTACAGCCTTAGAATTGGTAGCTGGGGAACGACTCTACAACGTTGTTGTAGACACCGAGGTAAGTCGCTTTTAATGAGAGAAAACTTAAAATGCGTATCTTGCTTGGAAAATTATGCTGCTAAAAAAATTGAGTATTTTCTTTGTTTTAAGATTCTCCCAGATGGCGTATATATGGTAAAACTATTCAGTTAATGACTTTTTGATAACTATATTCTAAAAGAAGTATTGTGCTTACTGAGAAGCTCACATTGCACATTACCAGTCTTAGATTTTCTTTTTCTGTGCATGTTTTTATTTATTTAAATTTGTAAAATAATACTGAGAATCTTTTTAATAGCAGTCTTCCCATCAAGAAACATTCAATTTATCTGCATTTTTTCATTTCTTATTTTCTGTCCTTCAGTGGAATGTTCTTATTCACGTAAATGTCACATAGTCATTATCAAATTTACTTCCTTATGGTTTTTAAAAATTTTTTGTATATTTAAGGTATACAGTACGTTTTTGTGTATACACATGGTGAAGTGATTACTGTAGTGATTACTGACACAGCCGTCACCTTTAATCGTTACTTCTTTTCCTTTTGGTGATAAATTCCGAAAATGTACTCTGTGGCCAACTTCCCGTATGCAGTACAATATTATAATCTGCACACTTTACATTCAAGTGTGTACCCATTGGCCTACAGCCTGTTTCAGTCCATTCCTCTCCCTCCCTGTCCCGAGTAGCCCTGTCCATTCCCTCTCTATTTAACTTTCTTTTAAACATTCTCCATGTATGTGAGATCATGCAGTATTTCTCTGGGTCTGGTTTATGTCACATCTCTGCTCCAGGTTCACCCATGTTGTCAGAACAGCAACATATCCTTCTTTGAGACTCAATAAGAATTTACTATGTGTATTTTTTTGCCTTTTGATTGTTTCAGATAGAATGTGCTAAACATCTATTTGGTTATGGATTCCTGAACTTGCACTCTTTCTATTTTAGTGTTTACTTTTATCATTACTTTTTTTTTTAAATTTTAAAATTTCAAATGCATTTTTTAGGTCACTGGTAAAAAGCTACTAGAAAAAGGAGAATTGAAACGTCGTTACACTATAATTCCACTCAATAAAATCTCAGCCAGATGTATTGCTCCAGAAACTTTGAGAGTTGCTCAGAATCTGGTAAGTCTTACTTACTTACGCAAAACCACAAATTTTTTGTTACAATTCTTTAAAAAATTAAAATTAAAAAAACCTAAGATTTGCTCGTTTGTAGTTAGATGGCAAGAGAGTAAAAGTATTGGAAGACTAGAACTCCCTTTGATTTTTCACTTTCGTATTGGAATGTCTTTAACTTTATATTGAGTCACATGACTAACATTTGATAGTGAAAATTACATTTCTAAACAGTTAAAACTGAACTTACAAATACTTGAAATTCTTCAGTGTTCCCTCATAACAGGAACACTTAAGCTGCTTGCAGTGACAGCCACTGTTTAAGGTATTAGTCAGTACTCCACAGTTGCTCTTTCATTAGAGTTCTTTTAGATTGCTATTTCGCCTTTAGACATATACTATATTGCAGGTGACTTAAAACCCCAATCAGCTTTTGAGGGGGATGGATAGAGGTATATTTGCTAGTAAGAAAATAGATGTATACAAAGAAATGCATTTAGAAAACTCTTGTGGACCTGTAATACTGGGTTAAATCATGAAGCTAATCATAACTAATTTTAGCAGCAAAACCAATTTATTATTTACCAGGCATTCCAGTTGTGTGAGTTGAAAAGATAGTTCTATGAAACTTAGAAATAGCATTTGTAGGGGCTGGGGATTTAGCTCAGCGGCAAAGCGCCTGCCTGGCAAGCGAAAGGTCGTGAGTTCGGTTCCCGATACCGGAGAAAAACCAAAAAAAAACAAAAAGAAATAGCATTTGTAATTAAAATACTAAGTGGATATCCAGTGTCCTTATTGAAATTGAGAAGCTTCCAACTAAGTGACTTTAAAGTACTGTTGTATTGATGTGTGTACTATGAAGAGAGGGAGTGTGAATGCAGAGTAATTCAAAGATAGTGTTTCGGATTAGTATTGCCTTTATGTGAAATGTCATCTTCGGGACAAGAAGGCTCAGGAAGTTCATTCAACTGTAGATTAAATTCCAGTGTTGCAAGTAAATTGGGATTTTGAGTAACAACAAAAGTATTTCTTCCCAGATTCTATAGCCAAGTCTGTTTAATTGTTAAAGTGTGGTGCCTTCCTTGTGATTCCTTGGTGTTAAACTCCATAGGGGAAGTTTAATTTTCTAAAAAGATGAATGAAGTGGACATAAAAAAAGGTTGTAAAGAGGTAGTTGGATCATACTAGAAGATGGGATACCTTTTCTGTTATTTTTTACTTCCTTAGTAATTGTTTGTGTTTCATTTTTGTAATTGGCAAGTAGCTGATAGTTTATTTAGTTTGTGTAAAAATTGTGGAAGAACCAAATTACTAATAATTGAAACAAAACAATACAGTTTATTTGACCTGGGAATTACTGTACTTTAAGGGTCATGTGCTTACATAGATAGTCCATTTCAGATTTAGGGTGCTGCTATTCGCTCATCCATGGTAACACACTATTATTTAGCTAAATATTTTACTTGGCAATAGATCCTTATGTGTTTAAAGCTATAATTTTTTCCCCTAAAACTTTAGGTTTTATGTAGCATTTTAGTAAGTGTTTTAAAATTAATTAATGGTGAATATTACTTAAACCTCTGTTATAACAGTTCTTACTGTGTTAAAAAATAATATTTGAAAGGAAAAGAAGTAGTATGTGCTATATCTGTTGTTTGTCCTTCAGGTTGGTCCTAATAATGTTCATGTGGCTCTTTCCCTGGTTGACTATAAACCAGAACTTCAGAAAGCAATGGAATTTGTCTTTGGAACAACACTTGTTTGTGACAATATGGATAATGCCAAAAAAGTGGCCTTTGATAAAAGGATAATGACTAGAACTGTAACTTTAGGGGGTGAGGTATTTGATCCGCATGGAACATTGAGCGGAGGTAAGTTTTATGTGCTTTTGTCTTTACTACACTCTGGTAAATGGGATGGGCTTCTTTATTAAATAGAGACTGTAAAATATTTAGGGATGGGTAATCCGTAAATAAGTAAATTCAGATGTTGATTCCTAGTATTTGATTAGAACCAAGATTAAAGCCAGTCCAGGTTTTACATTTAAGATCAAATACTTAATTCCAAAGCCGTAATATAAATCTAAGGGTTGCATTTAAGTGTTGAATACCTACCATGTGACAGGTATATAATAGTACTGAGAAATTACATAGTGGCATAGTCCATTGTGTAATCTGCTGAGTAATCCTATAGTTAGTTTTATTACTCTCAGATCTGTTCCTATTTATATTCATCTATTCCTGTTCATATTTTGCTCTGTTTTCCTGTTAGGATACTCCAATCACTGGTACTGATACTAGCGTATTCTTCCTTATTTATTCTTACTTTTTGTCCAGTTGTAGTCAAGGAAATGTCTTTGTTTTTTAAGGTACATTTTTTAGCCTAACTACCCATTTATTCAGGAAACCTGTTAGCTCACATGTCAGTGCTGCCACTGCTCCTGTCAAAAGTGAAAACTCTTGAGAATGGAACCTTAATGCCTCAGGAGAGGAATTCCTAAGCATATTCCTGAGCATATTTTTTCTTGTTCCAATATTTGTCACATTGATTTTCTAAGTCTGTTGAGACAATATAATAAAAAGTAGTGAGTGATATGCTGTACTGGCTAGTAATCTAAGACTGCTGTCCAGTACAGTAGCCACTAGCAATACATAGCTCTTTTCACGTAATAAATTAACATAATTTTTTCAGGTATAGTATAGTAGTTGTATCTCAAAGGCTCAAAATAAAATGGTTAGTGGGTAATTGGACAATATAGATACCAAAACATTTGTCATTCTATAAAGTCCAATTTTGTGGGCTTTAAATGATTTCACTTTATTTAATCCTTAATAACAACAATAAAGTAGGCACATGACTATCATCTCCAGTATATAACTACAGAAATTAAAATTCAGAGTGGTTAAATAACTTGCTAATATGTGGCAAAACTTGGAATCTAAAATAAGCAGTCTGATTTCAGTCTATCCATTTAACCTAGTAGGCTGTATAAAGTCTCTTGATAGATCAGATAATTTAATATCTTTCTAGGCAAATTAAATGAATCATATCAAATATCAGACTCTTCAATACAAAAATTTACTAGTATCTGCAAGAGGAAAATGAAAGGAAACTAAGTATTTTTAAAAATCTAGAAGAGAAGAAACTTCAGATTTCATTAATTTAAATACACGTAAAGTTTCTTCTTTAAGAGTTGGCAAATATGTAATTCGAAAACTTACTGAGTTCTTATAATAGCATTAGTAATTGACATTGGCCTTCTTTCATCAACCTACAGTGTTTTCTTGTTGATGTAATAATAGCCAGATGGTACACTACAGATTGTACAGTAATTTAAATCAGTTTATTCTGCTTGCTCGGCTGCATCAGGGTTTAAGCCAGGTTATGATGGGGTGACAAATAGCCCTCAAATCATAATAACTTACAACAAATTTATTCTATAGTTACACTACATTTACTGCAGGTCAGGTTCCTCTGTCCCATGTTGTTTTCATTCCATGATTCAGTCTCAAGGCGAAATCCCCACCTTGAACAGGCTTTTGTCATGGCAAAGGGAGAGCAAATTGTCACTTACATGCTGCCTCGTAAAGGTGACATGCAGAGAAGTACATTTCCCGTTTCACGGTCTGGAGGTAATCAGTTGACCAGACTCAGTGTCTGTAGGGTTGGAAAATGGATATAGGAAGGATGTCCTAGGAGATAGGCCAGTGGTTACATTTATCTAGAACCATTTCTTATCACTTATGTATGTTTTTAGGTTCCGGTTCATGAATTCACCATAAGATTTTTCATTGAATTATTTCTAGTATAATTCTCCAAGAAAAAATTTTACTGCTTCATAAACCTGTGGTAATTTAATGTCCAAGGCTTGTTTCTTGTCTCTGTCAGGTGCTCGATCTCAGGCGGCTTCTATTTTAACCAAGTTTCAAGAACTCAAAGATGTTCAAGATGAGCTGAGGATCAAGGAGAAAGAGCTACAGGCTCTAGAGGAGGAATTAGCACGTCTTAAAAACACTGCTGAGAAGTAAGACTTTGGATTAAGCCCTCTCTATATTGCATTAATTTACATGGTAGAACATGATAGAAGTTTATTTAAAGAAATACAGCTTCCAGCATTTTTCATAATAGCTATGGTTTAAAAATATTTGAACAAAAAAATTGAAAGTGGATAATTAGCTGTTATGTATTTTTTTCTGATAAAAGGAGTGTGTTTGTTGTGAGAAATGAACGAAATGTAATTCTTCAGAAGGGAAAAAAGTGTCAAAGAGCCTCTTCTTGCTACTGATACGTACATTTAGCATCTTGCTGGGGTCGGTGGGGGGATCCTTAGATTCTCAGGAATCTGACAGCGGAGGATACTTGAATTCTTGATTTGAGTTTACCTCATCTACTGTAACAGTGATCAGTTGTCTACAGTAAGGAAATTAGTGTTTTTGTAAACTTCTACATTCCACTTTTTTTTTAAAATAGAGTTAAAATTATTGTCATTGTCAAGCAGTTTCAAGGAAGAATACTCAAGATAGTATTATATTTTATGAGTTGTATCCTTTTCCCTTCAAACCTCATGAATTTCTAGTGATATCCTTGTCACTATCTTGTGAATTTATATTAACTTGAAATTCCTCGTAACTGAAATAGCTAAATACCTTCCACAGAAATGAGTGAAGCAGCCACACGAAGGATAGAATTACAGTTTGTGGTGAAGTGCATTGCACATGCTTAATGTCTTAAACAATCAGTCTCACTGCAAGAAGCAGGAAACATTACTATTAACATTTGAAAATGGAGATTAATAAATAAATAACCAGACTTCTGGAATTTTATCTAATTGTTACATTCTTAATTTTGGTAGTGAGTAGTGACTAGAGTTTTTCTTTTAGGTAAGAATCAGCAGAAGAAATTATTTTTGAGAAAACTTGCCTACTAAAAATTAATTTTAGTGTTTTCTAAAATTAAGATTTTTTTATAAATACCTGTTATGTGTTTTTGTCATTTAGAGTTGTTTATCTTCAGTGACCAAATCAGACTTGCTAAAATGAGACTTGGATTTACTTGATGCTTCAGAAACTTGTGAATTTTCACTTTTCTTTGGTGTTTTTTTTTTTTTTTAATTTTTGTGGTACTGGAGATTGAACCCAAAGCCATTGCACTGAACTCTATCCCTGACCTTTTTTTAAGTTATTTTGAGGCAAGATTTTGTAAGTTGCCCAGGCTGATCTATAACTTAGAGTCCTCTTGCCTTGGTCTCCCAGATTGCTAGAATTACAGATGTGTAGCACCTCACCCGGCTCATCAAGTTTGCTTGGTCACCAGTAGCATATTGTTTATATTATATGTTGTTTATTTCAGGCCAGAGCCTGAACTCTAAATGTATGTCTCAAATCTGAGGAAATGCACAGGTTTTCACCAGAAAATGGTGTATGGTATATGTTATAAACTTTTGTTTTTCTAAGGTATCGCCAACTAAAACAGCAGTGGGAAATGAAAACTGAGGAAGCAGATTTATTACAAACAAAGCTCCAGCAAAGCTCATATCATAAGCAACAAGAAGAATTGGATGCTCTTAAAAAAACTATTGGTAAGATTAAAACATTCTGTGCTTAAGCTCTGTATCTAGTGGTATCCTTTTCTTACATTTAGGAGACTTGTATTTATAGTACATCAGGGAGTGTTTCTGTGGTAAATCAAATGTGGGACTTCTGGTCTTAGAATATGGTCATCTTCAGCTATTATATGTTGCCAATGTTTTGTCCTTTTTTAACAGCATTTGTTTCCACCCATGGCGTGTGAAAGTTCTATTTCTTTAAATCCTTTTCTTTCTAGACTTTTAAAGTTTTCCCAGTCTGATAGTTGTAAAAAGATAGCACGTTACCATTTTCAGTGACATTTAGTTGAATTTCCCTGGTCACTGGTGAAATTTAGGGGCTATATTTATATTTACTGGAACTTTGGGTTTCTCTTTCTGTGAATTTCATATTTACTTCTTTTGTCCATTTTTCCTATTGATTCTTTTTTTTCCTGTACATAATAATTATTTCTTGTAAATTATGTGTACTGCAACTGTGTATAGAATTTTTGTACACAAATACTTTCGATGTTGACTGTAATTCAGTTTTAAAGGTATCTAACTTTCACATCAGAATTTAATTTTATATGATTGTATTTGTTTCTCACAATTTAGAACAATTCCCACACTAATATTTTTATCCTACAGTACAAAGTAGTATAAATTGTCTGGTGGTGGCTTTCTGGGGTATATCTGTACCTAAGTCCTAATGTTAGTGATATATGTCAGTTATGATATTGTGTGTCTAGTCTGTCTTGCTCTTTTAGTTTTAAATGCTTTTTCCTGTTTCATCCTAGGCATATTTTCCACAATATTTCTCTACTTTAGTGAGAGGTTACTTGAATTTACCAAGACCAAGAATGATGAATGAACCAAGAACCACCATGAGCTTTCTGATAACTAAAATTACAGAAAAAATGTCATGGCTACATTGTTACTTTTGGTTTTAGAATGCACAGAGATACACTGAAAATATGAACAGTGAGGCTAAGGATGTAGTTCATGGCAGTGTGGCTCAATCCTCAGTACCGGGAGAGAAAGTACATGTGTAGATGAGCTGTGAGCTTTTTTAATAAGTTACTCAAAACCTTTTTGAATGTCAGAGGTAAAGTTTCTTTCTTAACGTCTTACCATTAGAAATAGTTTCAGGGACTTGGATAATTCAGACATGACTCTTAGGATTTCTGTTTCAGTGTACCACTTGTAGAATATGGTTAGAGTAGCTAATTTTGTTTACATTCTAATTTTCCAAGTTATTTCTTCTGTTAAATAAGTTGAATTTTTAAGTCTCAATATGTTTATTTAGATACATTTAACTACTTTTTAATGCAGTGGAAAGTGAAGAAACCTTAAAAACCACCAAAGAAATCCAAAAAAAAGCAGAAGAAAAATACGAAGTATTAGAGAACAAAATGAAAAATGCAGAAGCTGAGAGAGAAAGAGAACTGAAGGATGCTCAGAAAAAACTGGACTGTGCCAAAACAAAGGCAGATGCATCCAGCAAGAAAATGAAAGAAAAACAACAGGTAATAATCTTCGTTGAAATGGAACAAATCTGTTAAAGTCAACATAGTGTAAAAGGTAGAGTATCCTGGATTGGCCTTGTATTGAATGCAAAATCTAAAAGTGAGTTGTCTTCTTTAAGAAATAAGCTATGTGTCTTACAAGCCAGATACTCTACTCTCTGAAAGCCCTGTAATTGAATGTAACATGCGAGTCTGGATTGTATTCACACACTGATTTTAGGGGAAAAGCAAACTTTCCTTTTGTTAAATGTTCCCATGCAGGTGGATTATGTGATGTAGTGGAACTATGTCATATTAAAGATTTGGCAAGTTGTCGTTTCTCTTTTGTGACCACCTATGTTAGGGTGTGCTGTTGATACAGTGGAGACAAAGAATGTTACATTTATAAGGTATCATTCCTTTCTTAGCTGTATTTTTGAATAGTGCCAGAGCTATGTTTTTGTCTCCAAAGGGTAAACTGTTCTGTACAGTTCATCCAACTCTATATTTCTTCAGTTTTAACTCATGTTAAAATTCTGTCATTAGTTACTTCAAGAAGATATTTTTTAGTGAATTAAAGTGCTGTACTGGAAAAGAAGAAAAGTAAGGATTTTTTTTGCTCATTGAGTATTTTACTCAAAACTGCACTAATACATCTCATGTAGAATTTTATGTTATTTTCCCTATAGGAGTAAAAGAAATAATTTATGTAGTAATTTAAAACCTTAAAATTACACATATACTTAAGCTTTTTTCGTTTTTCAAATATTTTTATTTTCAAAAATAAAAGAACCAAAACATATTAATAAATACACAGACATAAATGAAACAACATAAAAACAATGCAGATTTTTTTTTTTTTTTTTTTTTTTTTTTTTTTTAGTATAGGAAAGTAAACTTCTATTTCCTCCCTGGAAGCAGCTTAATTTGTATTTTTGGTAATTGAGTGATAACTAAGCTATGTAAAGTTGCTGGTTTTTTTTTAGCACTGTACATATTTGTCAGTAGTTAAGGACCTGTGTGAATACCCACGTATTTTATCTCTGTAGGAAGTTGAAGCTATCACTCTGGAGCTGGAAGAGCTCAGGAGAGAGCACACATCCTGTAAACAACAGCTTGAAGCTGTGAATGAAGCTATCAAATCCTATGAAGGTCAGATTGAAGTAATGGCAGCTGAAGTAGCTAAAAATAAGGTAAGATTTCTTTACCAAGTTGGAGAAATTAAAAATTGTCATTTATCTGTGAAATTAAGATATTTGACTTTAGTGCTCTTGATGCTTTCAGTCTTGTCATTGGCACATGAAAACAAAAATGGTGATTACTGATCCAGAAAGCTACCTGAAATAACATCAGTGCTTGAGTTGGTGTCTACCCTGAATGCAAAAACCACTCAGTAATTTGAACAGGCAGAGTTTTAAATAATTTTTTGGTCAGTTGTACCAAGGATTCAACCCAGGGCCTTTGTACCGAGCTATGTCCCCTGTCCTTTTTAAAATTTATTAATTTGAAACAAAGTCTTGTTAAGTCACCAAGTGGCTATGGCTGGGCTTGAACTTGGCAATCTTCCTATCAGCTTCCCCAAGTGCTGGCATTGCAGGCATGTACCACCATGGCTGGCTATAAAAAAAGATTATAATAGAAGTTTTGGATGATTGAGATTATTCACTAAGAGATTAAGACAGTGCTAAAAATACAATGTAGCCATAACTCTTAGGGCTGAGGCAGTATATCCCTCAAAGGAACAAATCTGTCAAAGATGCTATTTTCCATGCAGGGCTGAGAATCTGTTCACAGAAGGCAGAGCAGTAGCCCGCTGGTCCTGAAGTTTGTGAAGGTGCCAGGAGAAGCTGTCTGCAGTAAGATGGTGCATATGTGTAGCACCTGCTGAGAAATAGATTTTGAGGAACACTGACCGCCATGTGTAGTAGTATCCTGTGCTCAGATATCAGGTGAAGCCATGCAAGTTCCTGGCAAGCCTGCCTTTGAGAAAAGCAGAATGGAACCAGCAGATAAAGCCCCTTCCTTCTGCAGTGTCCCACATTAACATTTACTGATGAGACTTAGTATTGTTGCTGTTGGCAAGGGAGAAGTGTTCCATTCTCAGAAGCAAGGCAACAAAGGGCAGTTTGGGGCTGAGAGGATTTCAGATAGTACAAAGACGCTGTTACCTGCAATTTAATGTAACGAAACTGTCCCTCTTGAATATTAGATACTCTTACCTCTTCCATTGTTTTGATCTTGAATTTTATGTTGTTTAATATCATTTCACTCATATTGAGCATTTATACTACTTTATTTTTCATTTCTTCATTTAGTCGTACATACTGTTTCTAAGTTGTTTCTGTCAAATTGTATGTTAACTAAATGCACATAGCATTTAACGATTTAGTCCATTTAGAAACATTGTAGTAGTGAAGAGCATTTTGCCTTTTGTTGTCAGTGTCTACATTTTGTTATACGTCTCCCTTATTTTAATCATGTTATGCAGTGTTTTGGAATACGTATCTTTTCCTTTTGATTCGATTGTTAGATTCTTTCTTTAGTTGTCTTTTTTCTGACATGTATTGCATCAATAATGGAATAGAAGCATTTTAACTCCCCCTTTTCTGACTATTAGAAATCACAGTTTATCTCAGCTTTATGTTTTATATTGTTGAGTAAACATTCTGTAGTTTCTATCAATTTTCTTTTTCAGTTTTTTTAGTGGTATTTGGGATTGAACCTCAGGTTCAGTATGTGCTAGGCAAGTGCTCTGCAGCTGAGCTACATCCCCAACCATCATGTAAATTTTAATGTAAAATATTTAAAGCTTTTTTCTGACTTGTTTTCTTAAGTCACACATTTTTCTTTTTTTTTTTTTTTTTTTTTTTTTTGGTTTTTCTCTGGTACCGGGAACCGAACTCACGACCTTGCGCTTGCCAGGCAGGCGCTTTGCCGCTGAGCTAAATCCCCAGCCCCAAGTCACACATTTTTTTTCTCCTGGTCGGCTATACCTTCTGCTGTCCTTGATCAGCATTGTGTCATATAATTTGTAAAAATTAGAAAATGTGTTTCCAAAGAGAAATGTAAAAATACAGCAATGTATTCTTTCATAAACTCAAAACATTTCTATAAAGAATGTACCTGTTTTTACAACAGAAAACAATAAAATGGATCGCTTAGAAATTTTTAAAGGTGATTCACTTAGGATCTACATTATAAATTATTTCCTTTTGCTGATAGGAGAAGATAAGTGAGTCACATTTTGTGCTGCAGTCTTTAACCTGTAGATGTAAGAGAATCTTTGTGTCCATTATTTTTCTTTTTGGTGTTACCAGAGTTTTATTCCTGTTTTGTTCTTCAGAGGTTTTTAAAAAGGTAAAATGTCTATTAGTATTTAAGATGAATAACACAAGTTACCTTCCCAAGGAAGACCTCTCATGATACAGTAGTGTCCTTTAGATATGAAGAGGAATTGAAATTACTCTGGGTATACTCAACAACTTGACTGTAATGTGGAGTATTTGGTGCTCAAAATTACCTTGCTTGAAGATGAACATGCCTAGAAAAATACCTAAGTTTTAACTGTTTCTCGTAATTACTGTGATCTGCTCTTCCTTAGTTTTTTGTCAGATTGTCCTATTTATTTGTTTTTGGCTTGCTTTATTTTTCCCCAACCTAAATATAAGTTAAACTGTGGTATTTGTTTGTTGTTTCATTTTGTTTAGACTAAACGTAAACTTTGTGTGAGTTTATAATTATATTCTCTATCTGAAGGACATTTAAGGTCTAGGATGAGGGGCTGGGGATTTAGCTCAGTGGCAAAGCGCCTGCCTGGCAAGTGCAAGGTCGTGAGTTCGGTTCCTGGTACCGGAGAAAAACCAAAAAAAAAAATAAATAAATAAAAAATAAGGTCTAGGATGAAGCCCAAGGGCTTCAAGGTCTGGTTGCAGAAGACAACATCCCAACTGTAGTCTTTTACATCCAACTCTAGCATTTTAGAGGATAAGTAGATTCAACTTTAGAAAGCAGAGGTGTAGTAAAAGAGAACAAGATGTTTTTCATTTGTCTCACAGGACAAAAAAGGGTCTGTTTTCAAATTTGTTTTGAGCGATATGTTAGAAACAAATGTTATGACCTCCTGTTGCTATTGGAAAGACCAACAGATCTTACATCTGATATAGAAGAAAAACAAGTAAAACCCAAACTGTCTTTTACCTCTGATGTTTGTCCTTCATGGTGAATGTCATTTGGGAATCTGTCATACCATCTTCTTGTTAACTACCTAAATTTTTTTCTGAGAGATCTCACAGGTCAGCTTCTAGTAATCTCTCCTGTCACCAGGTTGATTCCATCTATACTGCATCTAGTAATTTTGTTTCTGGCCTGAGTGCTGCATCCCAGGCAATTTCCCCCCAGTGACCCCAGTTTTCTTCTGTGTCTAAATGCATTTATTTGAATGTGTAGCAAGTTAGATGATCATCTGCCTATAATTACACTGACATCTTACCTAGAAGTCTGTCACTTTTAGTAAAAAAAAGTATTTGCATACCATTCTGTTTTTTTGTTTGTTTGTTTTAGGAGTCAGTCAATAAAGCTCAAGAAGAGGTGACCAAGCAAAAAGAAGTGATAACAGCCCATGACAGTGTAATTAAAACCAAATACACAGAAGTGGCAAAATATAAGGAGCAAAACAATGATTCTCAACTTAAAATCAAGGAGTTAGACCACAATATCAGCAAACATAAACGGGAAGCTGAAGATGCTGCTTCGAAGGCATGTTTGTGTTCATTTTTACTTTCAGTCAAATTTTTGTTTCTAGGATGTTGGAAAATTCTGGAGAACCGCTCACTGAAGAAACTGGGTATAACTGACCAACTACAGCCTAATGTCATCTTGAAGTGACAGCTATGTTAAGTGCTTGTCAATAATGTTCATTTTCAACAGATGGTACAAAAATGTTTTATTTTCAAATTTAATTTTAGATATCCCCATTCCTGCAAGATATCTGTACCTAAGATTTAATAAAACTCATGAGCATAACTGTTTTTCTCCAAATACTGGTAGAAGTATTCATGCATGTATTTGTAATAATAATATATTTTACCTTATTTCAAATTGTAGTTAAAGAAGTCACATATATCTATATACACCCAACATTAAAAAAGGATGTAACTGGCTTTTGGGTTTCCTTAGGTGGGTCAGTACTATTAATTTTTGCAACTTTATTGAAAATCTGGTGTTTTATCATTTTGAAGTTCTTGTTGTTATTAAATTTTCTTCCTTTCCTATATCAGTATTTTTATGTAAGCACTTTAAGTACAACACATACTTTCGTAAAAATTTACTGCTTGGTTGGAAGGCTGCATCAGTGTGTTGTTCTTAATAATTCATCCACCATAGGATCTTTTTTGGCATCTTGAAAATTTAAAGACTTTAACCTCTAGAGATCATCAAGAATATACTAGCCTTGCCGTCCTTTAAAAGCACTGTAGATGTCTGTTTAGGTTCATTATTTGGTCTGAAAGCATTTTTTATGGCTACATCATGATCTCCCACATTTATTATTAATTTCCCAATATTCTAGAAACTAGTGCTAGTGGAATCTGACATATTACCAATAATATTGCTAATAGTTTTTTGGTTATTGAGTGTCCTAGTGGTGATGATTTCTAGGGAATTTTATTTGCCCTTAGGAGGATAAAAGGAGAGATGAATGGACCTGCTAAAAATTCAGGTACTCCTTGAAAAATGTTCTTGCATACCTGCAAGTATCAGATACTACACCTAGTATCTGGTACTACATCATGCAATGAAGGCATAAGGATGAGAAAAATGTACACAGACTGCTTTCATAGAGCTTATAGGTAGATCAGCAAAGAAGATAGACTATGAATGATGATTTCACTTAGGGGCGTAGCTGATCAAACCCATGGAATTAGTAAGAGGAGACTGGTTGACAAAGCCTGGATTCTACCAGTTAGAATAAATCTTAATTCTTGTAAGCACTATGATATGAAAATTTTAATCAATTGTATTATTTGAGGAGATATAATACTGTGCCTTATGAAAAGGTGATGGGAATGAGGATAGAGTAAGATTCAGGGCAGTCTTTTTCTTCAGTTACACTTTGGAGGAAATTCCTAGTCAAGATTAGGCTTCCATTTTCCCAGATCTCTGACTTCAGTGTTGTTAACGAGTTTCAGTCACTCACAAGTTTTTTTAATCTGGTGATCACAAGATTGAATTTGGTGAAACAATAAACTGAATTTGGTAAAAGCTGAAGGAGACTCATCTAACATTTCATTTTAATGGAAATGTGTTGCATATACAGGCTAAATATTCCTAATCGGAAATTCCTAAATCCTAAATGCTTCAAGTCCAAAGCTTTTGAGTGCTGACATGACACCACAATTGGAAAATTCCATACCTGATTTCATTTACCAGATCATGGTCAGATTGAGGACATAAAGATGATGGATAAAATTTCTTAAGGTTGTGTGTATAAGGTGTGAGGTATGATTAAAAAAATAGACATTTAAATAAAATTGTTACAGTGTAAGACACATTGCCATTAATCCCTTTCAAAATACCTTCCTTTCAATTCAAACACACTTATCTCATCGTTCTTGCCAGCTTCTGAAGCAGTTCTGAAAGTCCTCTTTGGTGAGTGTCTCCAGTTGTCCTGTCTGTCATGGCTGCCTGAACATCCTGAATCAATTCAAAATGTTTATCTTTTATAGTTATTTTGGTCTTTGGGAGGAACCAGAGTTGCATGGTGCCAGATCTCGTGAATACTCTTGTGTTTTTACAAGCTTGCCTTTTTGTTCAGTGGCACTTGGCAGCAGCATTCACTGTATTTTTTATCACATCTCGTAAAGACATTGACAAACAAGGACTCCAGAACTACCTCAGGAAATAGCAAAGAATGATGGGATGTGTTCAACAAGGAGATTATTTTTATCACCCCTTGTATCTATGGACCATAATTGGATTTTATGCTTAGACTTGGCTCGTTTCCCTAAGGTACTCTCTTCCCTCTCTCTCTCTCTATATATATATACATAAATATTTCAAAATTTGAAAAACTACAAAGCAGTCTGGTCCTAAGCATTTTGGGTTATTTGACCTGTGCTTAATGGGTTGGCTCCTCTTCAAATGCGTGGGTAATAGAATCTTTTTCGTCGTCAACCTCTTGAGCCTGTCCTCCAAGCAAAAGTACTCATCGTTTCTGGCAGTTTCCCCAAGATATGTGACATACAATTTAGTATTTAAGGAACTGGTTTTGGTTTAGAAATTTTTTTTTAACACATCCTTTCGTTTTCATATGTAACTAGGTATCCAAAATGTTGAAAGATTATGACTGGATTAATGCAGAGAAACATCTCTTTGGCCAGCCCAATAGTGCCTATGATTTCAAAACCAACAATCCCAAAGAAGCTGGTCAGAGGCTTCAGAAGTTGCAAGAAATGAAGGAGAAACTAGGAAGGAATGTTAATATGAGAGCTATGAATGTACTGACCGAAGCTGAAGAGCGAGTAAGTTAATTTGCAGTCAGTCTCTGGACTTAGGAGAACGCGGTAGACAGGGTCTTACTAAGTTGCTTAAGCTGGGCTGCAACGGCTGTTTCCCTTTGACTGTAGAGGGGATTCCAGCCCCCAGGCCACAGAGCAGTAAGTCTGGGGCTGTTGGGAACTGGAGCCACACAGTGGTGAGCAGTAGCAAGCAGCGAAAGCTTTATCTGTATTGGCAGCCACTCGCCATTGCTCACATTACCACCCGAGCTCCAGCTCCTGTGAGATGCGCAGTAGCTTGCGATTTTCATGGCCTTGTGAACTGTGTGTGCAGGGGATCAGTACCGCTCGCTCCTTCAAACCGTCCCCAAACCACCACCCCCATCTATAGAAACACTTGTCCCTCGTGCCAGTGTTGGGGATTAATGCTCTGGACTGTATTGAAACCATTGTGTGCGTCATGAGCAAAACTGCTGTTTCGTTTTTGTGGCAGCATCTTCTTGGTCCTAGCGTTCCCAGTTACTTAATAATGTCACGTATCTCTCCTGTGCTGACGGAACTCTTACATTCGAGGAAGAGATTTTGAGTGTCATTCATTAATGAACTTAGGAGCACCTGCCACTAGAAAAAACCATTGAGGGCAGCAATCTCTTGAGGTCCCATAGCTGAAGGCAATCAGTGATTTTATATTAATGCCTCTCATACTTTTTTTTTTTTTTTTTTTTTTGTGGTACTGAGAATTGAGCTCAGGTCCTTGTGCTTGCCAGGCAGGCACTTGTGCCACTGAGCTATATCCCAGCCCTGCCTCTCATACTTTAATTCTGCAAAATTGTTTGAATTTGCATATTAGAATTAATGAGAGCTCCACAAAACTGATAATACTCCTGAGCTCAGTTGCATTTCAGAGGTTTGCTATAGTGGCTTTAAAAAAAAACTTGCTGGCATTAATATTTACAACCATAATGTTAAGTGAAATAAATCAGACACACAGCTTAAATATTTATTGCATGGTTTCTCTTATATGAGAAACCTAGAGTATAAATAAATTAAAGAGCAAAATAAAAGCTAGATAATAAGAAACTGATACAGATCTTTTGCAGAAGGTAAGGGGCCCAAAATATGCAATGGGGGAGGAGAAGGGATAAAAAGATAAGTAAGATATGTTATGTACATGTTCCAGCTCCCCACATTAAGTGTAGTCAGTATGCTGCAAATATGTACTAATAAAAAATGGAAAACTACTTTAAAAAGAGAAAGAAACTATATTTTGTTAGATATCAGACAACCCAATAATTCAGGTGTCATGATTGCTTTAAAGTATTTCTAGTGGTTTTCTTTCTATCTTAAAGTTTTGTGGTATATGGGATATTTTTGGAAGGAAATCTGTGGTCTGAATTTAAGCTACACAATATTGTGAAACTTGTTCACTTGTTTGCTTTTATTAGATAATGATAATAAAGTCTTTTTTTTTTTATTCATTAACTGTCCTTACCAGAAAAGAAGGCTCTGTTGTTGATCAGACACCCTTTTGTTTTATTTTTGTGTGTGTGTGTTTGTTCATGTAAGAAATTACATGGATTTATGTAAGAAATAACTTAAAACTGTGACAATGAGGATTGTGTAGGTTGCCATAAAGGAGGGACACCATAAGGAAGATAGCAGGACTAACTGCAGTTACTCAAGAATACTAAGGAACCTTGAAATGTGTGAGATTATGAGGAGAAATAGATTCAGAAGAATTTTTAAAAATTCCACATCTAGCCTGATGATGATAAAACTATCCCACTGGAGCCCCCCCACAAAGGAAGGCCACTTCGAAGAGATGCTGTTTCAGCTGAAACTTAAGTCACTAGTTACGCAGATATAGGGAAAGAGCATTCGGGGAAGAAAGAACAGTGCCAAGGATTGGAAACAATGAATTCAAGGAGCTCAGAAAGGTCATACATCCGAGACAGATTCTGATGTCGTAAAATGAGATAAAGCCTAACTTAGGACATGTATATCATAGTAAAGAGTGGAAATTTTACTCATATCACTGATGAAACTGACTTTAAGATGAGAGCATTCGGGGCTACTTTAACTTTTTTTTACGTAACATATTTTCCTTTTTACCTTGACTACTCTGAAGACAAGGGATATTAGTACAGTTGAACTATTTCAAGGTCCTTCCAGTAAATTTTCTGTTCTAGTATAGTCAGATACTAGAGTATTTCAAAGCAGTACTCAACTGCTAGTATAGTCAGATACTAGAGTAGTTCAAAGCAGTACTCAACTGCTTTGAAGTTGAAAGAATTTTGGTATTTGATGCATTTTTACGTAAAAATTTTGTCCTGGTACGCAATAAATAAGCTAGAATTTGTTGGCGTCAATGGCCTTGTGACAAGCTACCCTTTCGTAGCCAAGAGAATTTGTTTGCTACTTGTCCTGCCTCCTGGAACCAATTAACAAGTACCAAAGTACCGCTGTAGTTTAATTTTACTCTGTACGTATTTACTCTCCTTGTAATTTGCTTGGCATTATAATTCTGAGTGCATTGTATGTTTTTGTTAAATAACGAAACCTCTTTCTGATTGAATTCCAGGACATAGAGGAAATTTTCTGTTTCTAAATAAATACACTTTTTTTGTCTCACAGTATAATGATTTGATGAAGAAGAAGAGAATTGTAGAAAATGACAAATCTAAAATCCTTGCAACTATAGAAGACCTTGACCAGAAAAAAAACCAGGCCCTAAATATTGCTTGGCAAAAGGTATTTCAACCCCACATATTACCCTTTAATTATGTAGAAGGTAAAGATGAACATTATTATCAGTGAATTTATACTCAAAATCCTGTATAGTTACTATGTTTGAATGAGACATATACTCACATCTTGGTTAAAGCCTCATAGGCTTGTAAATGCATTTTCTCTTAGATTTATCTACTATTGGATTTGCAAAGGTAAGGAAGACTACTGTGGTTCTTAAGTTATAGTAACTTTCTAGTTTTCTCTATTTCTTACTCCTATGTGGTTTCACAGCACTGTTTTACTTTATAAGGGATTGCTTTTTATTCTCTTTGTTTTTTATGAGATCGTAGGCTTTTATATTTGGAAGGAACCTTAGGTCCTCTTTAAGGTCTGCTAAACTCCAGCGGGCCTCTGCTTGAAGCTGGAAAGCAGTGTCAGTTCTGTGTAGCAGCTCAAACTGTTGGAAATCAGAAACGGTCTTGCAAAAACTCATTTGTTTCCACCATCTTCAGTTTTCCTTGCCCAGACTTAAGGAATCAAATATTATTTCTCAGAATGTTCCTGTAGTAAGGTTCTTTTAAGTATATTTTTCATTTTTAATCAACACATAGTAATTGTGTGTATTAATGAGGCACACTGTAACATTTCAGTACATTTGTGCTATGTATATGATCAGACGAGGGTAACTGTCATCAAAATCCTCTCTACTGGCTATTTTGAAATAATTAATTGTTCTCAACCAGAGATACTCTACTAAGCTGTAGAACATTAGCCTTTATTCCTGCTGTCCAGCTGCACCTCTGTGCTTGTTAACCATGCCGTCTTCATTCCCCATTGTCCGCACTCTTCCAGGCTCTGCTGACAATTATTCTATTGCATGTTTTAGTTTTAGCTTTTAAATAAAGTAAAACTGTGCAGTGTTTGTGTTTTTATACTTGACTTTGTTTTGTTTTGTTTTGTCTTTTTCAGACAGGGTCTCACTGTGCAGTTCAGGCTGACCTTGAGCTCACTTTGTAGCCCAGGCTGGCCTTGAACTCGAAAGATCCTCCTGCCTCAGCCTCCCAAGTGCTGGGATTACAGACATATGCCACCATGCCTGGCTCTGTTTCTAGTTTTTGAGGAACCTTTATATTCTCCACAATGGCTGTGCTGATTTGCATTCCCCTCGACAGTGCACAAAAATTCCCATCTGCATACTTTCAGCATCTTTTCTTTGTCGGCTTTTTGGTAATAATCTGTCCAGGTGATGCCTCCTTACAGTTTTGATTTGCATTTTCCTTATGAATAGTGATAAATGAACAGTTTTTCTTGGCCCTTTGGACTATATATCTTCTGAGAAATACCTAGTTCATTTGTGCATGTTTTTAATTGGATAATTTGTTTTTGTGCTTTCAAGTTGCTTGAGGGCTTGTGTTTTCTGGTGTTTTCCTTATCAGGTGAATGCTCCACAGATATTTTCTCCTATTCTGTAAGTTACCTCTTCACCCCGTTAATTGTCTTCTGTGCTGAGCACAAGCTATTTAGTTGGCTGTAACCATATTTGTCAGTTTTTCCTTTTGTTGCTATGTTTTTGAGGTCATATCCAAGAAATAATCTGTCTAGATCAATGTCCTGAGGCATCAGCCCTGTTTACTTTTAGTAGTGTCATAGTTTCAGGTCTTAACATGCACATTTTTTTTTTTTATTCTTTTTTTGTTGAGTTTTGCATATGATGAAAGGTAGGGATTTAGTTTCTTCTTAATATAAATACCCAGTTTTTCCAGCACCATTTTTAAAGGGACTACCTTTTCTCCATTGTCTGTTTTGGGGATTTTTGTTGAGAATCAGACATAGAGATGTGGGTTTATTTCTGGGGTCTGTATTCTGTTTCACTGGTCTATGCATCTTTTTTTTTTTAATGTCAGTAGTGTTCTGTTTTGTTTATAGCTTTGTAATGCATTTCAAAGTCAGATGCTATAATTCATCCAGTTTTGTTCCTTTTGCTTAGAATTGTTTTGTTCATAATATCTTTAAAAATTTATTTATTGGTACTTGATTTATGGTCTAACATATGATCCATAGTGGAAAATAGTCCATGTGTCAGTGAGAAAAAAAAAATCTCTTTTCCTGCTATTGGTTGAAATACTCTTTAAAACTGTTAGGCCAGTTTTCTCTCTAGTATGGTTCAGCTCAGATGTCTTTGTTGATTTTCTGTCTGGATGATCTGTGTCAGGTGTGTATACATTTCAGTTGTTATATCTTTCCATTAAATTGACCCTTTTGGAAATATATAATGGCTGTTGCCTTTTTTACTGTTTTTGATGTAAAATCTGCTTCCTCTGATATGGATATAGCTACTTCTGCTTGTCCTTGATTTCCATTTGCATTGAGCACCTTTAACCAACACATCACTTTTAGTCTATATCTTTACTAATGAAATGAATTTCTTGTAGACACCATGTATTTGGCCCTTGAATTTTTTAATCCAGTCAAGAAGTCTGCATCTTTTGATTGGTGAATTTAATCCATTTACATTCAGTATTATTGATCAGCGTGAATGTCCTCTTGTAATTTTATTAATTGTATTCTATTTGGTTTTGTATAGTTTTTTTTTTTTTTACTTTCCATGTCTTTTATTATTGGTCTTGGGATTTTGTGTTTTCTGTCATGTTAAGGATTCTTTTCTCATTCTCTTTCATGTGTCAGTTTTTCTGAGGAGTTCTGTATATGCACGTGTTTTCATGATAGTATCATCTTTGTTTCCACTGTAGGACTCCCTTAAGTATTTCTTAAAGTGCTGGTCTGTTGGTGCATTCCCTCAGTTCCTCTTTATTTGGGAAAAACTATTTCCCCTTCAGTTTTGAAAGATAATTTTTCTGGTGATTATGTTCTTGGTTTATGGTTTTTTATTTCAGTATTTTCATGCCATTCTCTTCTGACCTATGTATAAGGTTTCTGCTAAGAAATTTGTAAATAAATTTACTTAGCCTGTCTTTATATGTGTGACTTGAGACTTATTTGAATTTTGTCTCATATGTTTGTTATTCTTACATAACATGCTTCTGGTGAAGGAACGTCTGTCTTTGTTGAATCTAGCTGGAATTCTTTGAGGTATGAAAATCAGGATTACCATTTATTTTTGAAGATCTGGGAAGTTCTTAGCTAATATGTTCTGAAGATTAAAAAAAAAAACCCTACCCCAGCTCTCTTTCTCCAGGCAGTACTCAGTGTAGTAACCCACTGCTCCCCAAACTGGGCTGATGGCTCCTCCAGCTGCAAATTCTCCAGGTGTCCATGGTGTAAGTGGGGACTATCCCAAGTTTCCTACCTACTTAACTCTCCCTTCCAGCCAGTTCCCTCTGTCCAGATGGGATGGTAGATGTTGTGTGCTTGGTTCCCTTGTTCATAAGTCCATCATGCATCTCCCAGCATCTCTGCTATGTTCTCACTTCAGTGTGGCACTGTGGCACTCTGCTTCGGTCACGCAGTGAAGTCGCTGTTGGTTTTCTTGTTTTATTCCTTCATTGTGGAAGGAAACATGCAAGGCATCTATGGTCAGCCATCTTGCTGATGTCACTCTCATTCTCTAGCAAGATTAAGGTACTCTTTATCACTTACAAATTGTTCATTATATTTTAGAATTCACAAATATTTTATCTTGTATGTTCTTAGTAACACATTTTACACAGCTTAGATTACTATTTGCTAACATTTTAAGTACTCTGCTAATTACTTTACATTAATTATCTTAAAACAGTCTGTGGCTTCTTTAGTTATTATTATATCTATTTTTTACATGAAGAAACCTAAGCTGAGAAAGTTAAAAGTCTGCCACATACCATATAGCTGAAAGTTGAAAGAACTAGAACTCTCTTTTGCTACATAGAACCAAAGGTAAAATTGACTGTTATTGCTGGTTGTTTTCATCCTCTGTCTTTTTAAGGATTAGAAAATAAAGAAGCTTAGTGTTCTCTTTTATAGTACTTTCATTCAGCAAAAATACCAATGACCATGTCTTGTTTTATGTTAACTTCACCAGGAGTCAGGCTTCTTCACAGTTACTTGTGTCTCCTGCCTTCATGTAATGTCTCTTTAGAATCATTCCTTAGTCTTTCGTGTGGAATTTTTTCCATTTCTATCACAGTAAAAGATTCTTACTTAGAATATTTCAAGCAGAGTCATTCTCTAGCAAACTTGTGTTTTCAGTGACCCGATTGGGTAGTTTATCTCTTCTTTAATTCTTTAGGAACCTTTTTTTTTTCAGTATTGATAGAAAAATTATTTTTAGTAGCCTTATTTTCCCACTGCTTATGGTATTTGCCTTTTTTATAAGGCACGCAAAAATTGATGTCTTTATTTTGATGTAGAATTAATACTGTGTAGAATTTGTCTCTGTCCCCATTACCATCCCATGATTCTCAGATTTACAGTAAATCAGAATCAACCCTTTATAAACTAATTCTGCTCTTTCCTAATTCTCCAGGTTCTTCTAAAACAATATTTTGTGTTCTCTTACACCAGTCCGTGTTCTCTAATTTTCTTGATCCTTGTGATAACCTAATGAGGTGCATGCTTTTTTCATCAGGATTGTATGCATCTCTCTGATTTGAAGCATACTTGGTCTACAAAGCCCAAGGGTATTTTAGGTATTATTTTTGTTTGTTTTTTCCTTCTTAGCCTTATCAGATATACAAAAATCTGTTTAATCAGTGTATGGGTACAATGTGGATTGATATAAATGTGCATTAATAGAATGCAATGGCATTCTCATTAATAATTTCTTTTCTTTGGAGCAATTTATGGACGGTCCATGGTTGTATTCAGGGTTTAGTAACATTCCACTCTTTTAGTCCTGAGCCGCCTCTCTCCCATCTGGCCAAAAGATGAAAAGAAGATGAACCTAGGATGTTTTAAACACTCTGCTACCTTCCACCATTCCTCAAAAGACAGTGGTCCTTTCATCATTTTGAAAGGAGCCTTTCCAAGTTCTGGGAAAAAGAAAAAAACTAGACTCTTCTTCCACTGGATAGGGTATTACTCAACAGGTTAATAATTGCTCATAAAATGTAGGTAGGTTCTTTAGTAAGTCTATGTTCAGGACTAGTGCTTGTCTTTAGGTTTCCTGGGTGTGTGTACACATGAATTTTCCATTCCTGCTCTTGATTATGGAGATTTTTGTTCAGATCTTCATGTGTGTGCATGTGGGTGTGGGTGTGAGCAGTGGCATCTTCTTTCAAAAATGCCTGCTGAACTCTTCAGTTGCTAGTCATAGCTTTGAAGACAAACAGCCAAAGATTGATCAGATGAGTATACATGCAATTACCCTATGGAAAGAAGGATTCCGTCTTTAAACACCTGTGTAATCTCATACTATGGCAAGACAGGGGCAGGGACAGGCTAAACAGCTTCCCTCGCCTTTTTCTCTCGGGATCCAATGCGATTCCTGGCCCTTAATAATTAACCTCTTTTGTTTTATAAAGAAGGAGTTTAGGATACTTTTAACACTCTGAACAGATTTGGTCCTTTGATGCATGCCTACTTTTCTTCTGAACCTCATTTTGTTCTATTTTTAAACTTAGCTATTGACCCACAGGCCCATTTTGCTCCATTAGTCAACAGAAAAATAAATTTTAGAAGACAATACTTTGCCAAAACAGAGCTTCAGTTTTGTGTTTGCTTTTCCAACAGTTTTCTTCTTCTATATGATATAATTGTGCTTGTCTTGAGGATTCCTGCGGTATGTTCTACAAAATTATCAAAACTCTGTGGTAGAAATAGGAGCAAAACCTCTAGCTTCCCATGGGAGTTACAGCAGGGCTCAGAAAAGTCTAGGTTTTTTTTCCCCAGAACTTGGAAAGGCTCCTTTCAAAATGATGATGATTTGGTATAGGGCCAGGTAGTAAATATTTCTGATTTAGTGAGACTTGCAGTCCCTGTTTAGCAGTAGCAGCCATAGATTTTAAGTCCTGGGCATGGCCAGATTTGTCACATAGGCTGTAGTCAGCTCTTGACTATACATAACAGACAGTGCAGTGGACTTGCTGAATTGTATGTGTGTATACCAGTAATTGATTCTTCTTGAAAATATTCCCATGTTTTCATGTGATTTTTATATAGGTGAACAAAGATTTTGGGTCTATTTTTTCTACTCTCTTGCCTGGTGCCAATGCTATGCTTGCACCACCAGAAGGGCAAACTGTTTTGGATGGTCTGGAGTTCAAGGTTGCCTTGGGAAATACCTGGAAAGAAAATCTAACTGAGCTTAGTGGTGGTCAGAGGTAAGTATTAATCCTCATTCTTGTAATAATTCATTCTGTTCCACTTGTTTTGCTTTTGATTTGCTTAGTCGACTCTGTATGTACACTTATGGAGCCTATTATATGAGTAATGATTAGTTGGAACATTTGATGAAATTAGTAAACAAAAAAGAGAAGTAGAATAATCTACTGTAAAACCAGACAAAATATTGACAAAATAAATGAAAAACAACTTTATCAACTTTGGAAATAGCTAAGTAGTTTAGGACTGTGATACCTGAAAAAAAACAGAAGCGCTAAGCCCTGTGATTACCACAACTTTCTCCCTAATGCCAGTTTCTGGTCATCAGAAGCAGGAAGGGCAACCCAGAAAGAGCTTGCAGTATCACTAAGTTAAGGAGACATCAGTTAGAAATTTGAGAAGCCTTAGAGAAGAACTATACCTTAACACTAGTTCTGTATGGTCTGTGAATAAAGTCTACTTTAGATTCACTTAACAGGCCTTGAAGGAATCAGGCTGAGCTGCATCTTATTTGTTTATCAGAATAAATCCCAGGGTTTGGTTTTTGCAGTATTAAAGACTGAACCCAGGGCCTCATGCATGCTAGGATGCTAGGTGAGTATTCTTCTACTGAGCTGTATTCTTAGCCCATTTTAATTTTTATTTTGAAACAAGGTCTCCCTAAGATGCTCAGACTGTCTTGAACTTGCAGTCTTCTTGCCTTAGCCTCCTGAGTAGTTGGGATTGCGAGTGTGTGCCCAGGTGCTCCGTGATCTTTAAAGGACTACATTATTAAGATACTAAACTACTTAGTATCCACAATATCTAATAAAAATTACAAGACGAAAACCAACATGGTAACATAAAACTCAATTAGAATAACTTTGATGAGTAAACTTGAAGACATGGTAATAGATTCTCTTCAAGATAAACTATGAAACAAAAATTGAGAGAACAAAATCAGTTTCAGTGTTCTGTGGGAAGTAGCCTGACACATATCTAATTCCAAAAAGAAAGGAAAAAGAAAGACAAAATAATTTTAAGAACTAATGGCCCCAACATGTCCAGATTTGATAAATCTTTTTTTTTTTTTTTTTTTTTTGATGAATTTTATAAAGCTGTAGACTTGACTTCTGTGAACTGGCAGGATAAACATAAACACACACTAAATATTATAGAAAGTCATATGTAAAATTGCCAAAAACCACTTATTCAAAGAGAAAGTTTAAAAGCAGCCAACAGAAAAGAAATATGTGCCAAAGAACAAAGATCTAAAACTACATAAGCCAGAAATTTGAAACAAAGTGTTGAAAGAAAAATATGACAACTAAAAATTCTGTATCTGATAGAAACATTCATTTTGAAAGCAGTTTACTTTTTCAGACAAGCAAAAGCTGAAAGAGCCATGCACAGTAGCACAAACTTGTATTTAGTCTCAGCTACTTGGGAGGGGAGACAGGAAGATTTGCAAGTTCAGGGATATACTGGGCCACTTAGTGAGACCTTGTCTCAGAATAGAAGGAGCTGGGAATATAGCTCAGTGGTAGAGTGTCTGGCATGCGTGAGGCCTTGGTTTGAATTCCCAAAATGGCCACATATATGCATACATACATACATACGTGTATACGTACATAGCTGAAAGAATTTGATCTAACATCTGCTATTAAAGGACATTCTCGGGCAAAAGGAAAGTGATACCAAATTAAAGTTTCCATCTGCATAAAGGATTGAACGGTATAAGGGGAAAGCATAAGTGTGGGTTTTGGGAAATTTCTGAGATTCATGTGGTGATTCAGATCAGCATCCTGACAGAAATAAAAAATAAAAGTCTTCTGGCCTAACTCCTTGTCCACAGACAGCCAAATAAAACTTCCTGAGTAAGGAATGTGACTCCACATAATTGAACTTGGTTATTAGTTTAGGATTTGTCTTTAATTCTGTAGAGTATACATTTCATAATCCTTGAATTGTTTTCACGTGACCTATAAAACTCTCACGTTACTTTATGTTCAAAGAACATATTGAGACCTGTTAATTTTCTTCATGAACTCCTTGATCATTTATGAGTAAAAGTATTTTTACTCTTGTTTTCATGATTGATAAAATTTCTAAAGATTTTAAGAATCTGAAAGATACTAGCTGTTAATCAGATTTTCCCCATAATGCAGGTCCCACTATTTTTAATTATTTTGCCCAAATTCCTAGAATTTGTTTTTAGAGAAGTTCAAAGTCCAATATTTGACACAATAAAAATAATATTAATGACTTACCTCAGCTCCTCTCTATAGTGGTGAATGTCAGTTGCATACACGTCAGTTTTTATTATACTGTTTCATCAATATCCTTTTTTAAGAAATCTTGGTTTTTCCTCCCACTTCTGTACATGCTCCCCTAGGCCTCTTGTTTTTTTTATTTGTTTTTTAATTAATACTTCATTGGAATGCATTAAACATTGGACAGACCATTCTAGTAGTATATAGGAGCTATTTGAAGCTATCAGGTATGTTACAAATGTTACAGTTTTTATTTTGATGCTAGATAATTTAAATATTTTGTACGAAGAGGCTTTTTGCAAAATAGATTGCTGAAGAAAGAATATTAAAGAAGTATTGTGAGTCTTCATATAAAACATTATTCATACCAGATTAATTTGGAGTTGTGTTTCTTTATGCCACATTTAAAATGCAGTTAAAAGGGAAGGTGAACTAGGAGAGAACTAAAAATAGAGCTATAGAATTTGGGAATAGATATAACTACAAACTTTATATAAGGATTATTTCAATGGCTGATGCTATGAAGTACTTAGAGTAATGGGCTACAATCTATACAATGATCTAACAACTGAAGCCAAAGTAAAAATAAATAGTATGTGGTCTGTTCATGAATGAATTTGCGCTATATATCATAAAAACAGGATTGGGGCCGAACTGCAGTATTTTGGTTAAAAATGATAAAATGTTTATAGCTTTTCTTCCACCACCCTTTCCTAGGTCCTTAGTGGCTCTGTCGTTAATACTGTCCATGCTCCTCTTCAAACCCGCTCCTATTTATATTTTGGATGAGGTAGATGCAGCTTTGGATCTTTCTCATACCCAAAATATTGGACAGATGTTGAGAACTCATTTCACACATTCTCAGGTAAGAGCTATTTTAAAAAAATGAATAGAGTCTTTAATAGATTGTTTTTCTAAACTAGTCTTCTGCAATAGTCAGTGTTAGTAAGATACTTAGATTAGTCTGGGGAGGCAGCTAAGTGGTAGAAGAGTTGCCTAACCAGCACAAGGCCCTGAGTTCAATCCCCAGCATGGCCAAAAAGAAAAAGATACTTGGAATTGAAGAATAGAGAGTGTTATTTATTTATTTATTTATTTGAGTAGACTATATTCACATGGTTATAGAAGGAAAAAGGGTCTCCATTTTTAAATCACGAGTCATTAAAGTTACTGGTTGTACCATGAGGGAGAATCCAGTTTAAAATTGACTTAATGTGATTGTTTTCTATGGCTAGTGGCCGTAAGGCTATGCAATCAAAGCAATTTTTTTAATATTTTCAGATATCAAAAAATTATACTCAATAGGGGCACTTTCATTTTCTCCTGGCTAAAAGTAGAGAAAAGCCTCTTGAAGCTAAGAACAGTTGGTTTTACTATACTATTACTATTGAGCCACTTGCTATCAAATATGGCTGCATAAATTATACATTGTACACCTCTAAATCTGCACTCACCGTAGTTGTCGTACAGTGTGTTCTCGTATTTCAGATTTTTGGCAGATAACATTAAAGTGACATCTTAATTATATAAAGGTTTCATTTAGGCTGGGCATAGTGTTTGATAATCTCATTTGGTATTCCTAATATAAAGAAAATTATTTCACTAAGCCAGTTAGAGCTATTAGCAAAACAGTGAGTGCCAGCTACACAAGATAGCAATATGCATTCAACCACCAAGAAATAGGAAACTTGCCTGGTAAAACACATAGGGTAAAGGAGACTTTAAAACTAAGTATGGAAAGCTAGCATCCTCTTTGATGTCTAATACTGTAACTGCTTGCTACTCATATTTGCGTATGTCCATTTTCTGAGAATAGAGTATTAAAATAAATAAGAATAGCATCCAGAAAGTTTATACCCAGTAAAAAGGAATAAATACTTCCAAAAATTACCAAAAAAAATTTATACTTTTTTTTCTCCCTTAAGTTCATTGTAGTATCCTTAAAGGAAGGTATGTTCAACAATGCAAATGTTCTTTTCAAAACCAAGTTTGTGGATGGAGTTTCTACAGTGTCCAGATTTACTCAAAGTCAGAATGGAAGAATTCCAAAGGAAGCAAAATCCAAGGCCAAAGGACCTAATAAATGAGCACATGGTGGAAGTTTAAACTACAGACTTACTCCTGCACCTTGACCTTTTTTTAAAACATAATCTTTCAAGAACTTGGAATCTAATTTTTTATGTAATAATAATGTTATTCTGTTACATAACTAGTATTTTCTCTCCCTTTGTATTATCCTTTGTAAATGAGCAGATTCTTCTCTCTTAATTAGTGTAACTATGGTCCAGTTACTGTGGTTATAGTTTATGTATATCATCAATTTTTTTTCTTAAAATCCTTCATATGTTAGAGTGCCAGATACACCTGGTTGGTGGTGTATGTAGAAGAGAAAAATGCAAAGAAACAGATGAAATTAAAATATAGGATAAAGGTAGCTGACAGCTTTTAATTAGTTTAGTTCTTAAAGCCAGATTATGTATTTTCTGTTAATAAAATCATCTAGTTAAGGAAAAATTATGAAGCAAGTAGCTGGATGGACAAAGGGAAAACACAGAAAGCTAGTATAAATGTTCGGAGGTATCGCAGGTCAGTCCCTTGAGGACATTGAGCCAGCTTATGTGATGGGAAAAGATCTTGAGATTTCCCATTTTAGTGTTGGAATATCATGTTTCTGTATGCATACTTCGTCCTGCAACCTTGATTTCTTTTGTTTTTTTTTAAAGCTTTTTGAGTATTTTATAGAGATTTGGGAAGAAGTATGCTGCATGGTGCTCTTGGTTTATTTGGTCTCAGTATTTTTAAAGCTTTTTGTCAACCTTTTCATAACCTAATCAATAACCTGTTGGTGACTGAGAACGTAGGGCCCAGCCGACTAAAACTTTCTCCTGAGTCTGATAAGCATATAGATTGATCTAGTAACAAAATCTTGAAAGTACGATGATGATTAGAAGTATTTGTACATTCTGCTCTCCATTTCAAAGGAGTGCAACTTATCAAACACTGAAAAAATAGTATTTATAGTTTTTGTTTTCCCAGGTACATCCTTAAAATAGTATGTCTATAATCTGAGTCCTGAAAGTTCTTATTTGATCTCATCTGATCTTGGACGTGCTATTTTGGCCTCACAACTCTTCCTGATACTTGACTCTTAGTTCCTAAATGTATTTACATGCTTTCATACTTGTTGACCCTAGGGTTGACATTTCTGTCTTCATTGCCATACCTGTTATGTGATACCTAAGTAATTGTTATTATGGGACAGATTGGAATGGATTTAATCCAGAATTAGTTCTGTCTGCTGTGGGAGGGAGAAGAAATACAGCAATAAATGCCAAGTTACAGGAAGTCCAATGTCCTAGATGGCAGACCTTCAGTTTTTTCCTTCCTTTTAAAAGTATTGCAGATTGTTTACCAGAACAGTTGTATGCGTGCACATAATTACCAATAAAGTATAACATGCAAGTAGTATTTTTGATCAAGCAGTTACAAAATGAAACTTGCTATTTTAGCCACCATTTTAAAAATAATTTTGAGTGTGAATACTTTGCCATATGCACTAAATTCCTTTTCTCTGCTGCAAATTTTCTGCTTGTGTGCTTTTCTAATTTTTGTCTTATGTGTAATCTTGCTGTTTGATGAAAATTCTCAAACATATATTAAATTTTTGTGAGTAATACTGTTGTTATTCTTTGGAGGGAATATGGTAAGGGAAAGAGGAACATGTATTTCACGTATCAGTGATAATATGAATGAACCAACCCCAAGTGTTTTCTGGATTTATCAGATAATGTTTTGACTTGTGTGTGTTTTCATGTTTAATCCTTCTAATAACCCAGTAAGGTAAGTACTATTATCAGCATTGTGTAGTTGAGGAGATCTAACTGAGCAGAGAGGAAACTTGCTCACAGTGTAACAGTGAGTGAGTGGCAAAGCCAAGACAGACTTCATGGCAGTTGTTCCCCAGAACCAGCGGATGCACAGGGTGAATATCCTTTACCCAAATGCTTGGCATTAGAAGTGTTGCAGAATTCACAGTTTTTAGATTTTGGCATATTTGCATAAAATTTACTAGTTTAGCATCCTTAATCCCCAAGCCCAAATACTATGACATGTGAAATTTATCTACATCCTGACACTCGCTCAAGAAGTTTCAGAGTTTGCATGTTCAGACTGGGAGCATTCAACCTGCACTACCTTGCTGACAGCTTGAATGTTTGTATTTATAGTACAAAGTAAATTTAATAAATGCGTTAATTATATGACCAATATGTAAAACGTGAGTATAATTTTCATGAGCCTCACACATTTGAAGAAAAGATTCCTTTTTTTGCTGTTATTTGGCATTTTAGATAAAATGCAAAGCAAAAACTTGGGAAATTCTCTTCTGATATGGTGGAGTGGTAGATATAATTTATGGACAAAATAATCAGAAACGACTATGTGAGATCTCTGGATACTGAAGAGAAAAAGCAGGAAGATTGTGACCACGAGATAAAATTAGGAGAAAAAGACACACGCAAGCTAGGTTTAATGTTTTTCACCTTTGTTCTGATTACTGGCTATAGAGACCTGGTGCACCTACAGGGACAGCTGAAACTGCGATAGAAAGTCAGCTGTCTTCTTGACTGGCACACTAAAAGGTGAGGTCTGAGATAAACCACCTCTTCCAGAAAGAGCAGGAGAAATCTCAGAAGGGAGAGCAAATGGAGTTCCTCAGATTTGGTATATTTGGTAGCCTAACTAGTGAACTGACCCCTGAATTACGCAAAGACAACACGATGAAGATAAAGCTGAATACTAGTTAAAATAATAATGACAGATTGTTACCAGTCATATTCTAAGAAGATTCTAGCATGACCTGAACTCAGTGTCAGTTTGTATATAGGTGACTGAGTACTTTGAAGCCAGAATGAAGGAATAAGGAGGGTTGGGGAAAGACTCAGTAGAGTCGTGGAAGTAAAAACGGAAGGAGAAAGTTAGGGGCGTGGCCCATATGGATCCATTTGTGTTTGTAACCAGCGCTTAGCCTTCATTGAGACCAAGACGTGGGAGCTCAAATTTCTTTTAAGTACTGGCCAGAACAAACAGTAGATTCTTTTGGCACTGTTGAGTTATCTCAGACAGGAACTTGAAGGGGGCTGTATCTATTTCAGTGGTCTTATAGCCAGACCTTGGTCAGAGATACTAAAAATATTTATAAATAGATAATGTTTTAATCAGAATTCCTATTTCAAACTTATTTTCTGCCACCACTTTAGACATAATTCTCCCTCTGTATTTGCATGTTTCTGTAGTTGAGAGAGAAGAACTCAAATTTGGAGAGAACAGATGTGCCTGGGATTTACAGTATCTCACTGACACCACCACCAAAAGCATTATTAAGTAAGGTTTAAGTAAATCTTTAGAATTCTGCCCCCATATAATCCTTGAGATACTTTTACAAACTGCCAACTACACCTGATTTCAGGGTACATAGAACCATTATTTCTTGTTAGGTATTTTCTCTGAGTCATTGTTTTAACCAAAATGAAATTGTTGGGATTTACAGTTTTTGTTAGCTGTCATGACATGTTTTGGTGCTGTTTTTATATAAGAGAAAATTAGAGGCACGAAAGAGATTGACCAGAAACCATTCAACTTGGTGCTCTTCACAGCTGGCGATGAGTAGTGGTATTTCTTTTTTGTTTTGTGGTCGTTTTGAGACAGGGTCTTGCTATGAAGTTCAAACTGGGCTTGAGCTCACTTTGTAGCCCAGGCTGGCCTTGAACTCGCAAGAGTCCTCCTACTTCAGCCTCCCAAGTGCTGGGATTACAGGTGTGTGCCACCACTCCTGGTGCAGTGGTATTTCTTACAATGGATGTTTTACGTTGCATGGTACTCCATAGATACATTACTGTGGAGTTTAGAGGAGCCAAGTGGCTTTAAGTTCCTGTCTGTGACTGTCAGAGACATTTCTGTTTATTATGATACGGTATTATAGTGTAATTCTCTCTATGTTATCTACAGAAAAATACGGGTTCAGATATAAAAAAGGTAAAACACTACTTTAGGTTGGCACAATATTTAGCCCTAATGTGTCTGGGCGTCTCCTATCTTACAGTGCCAATAAGAAAAAAGGTGTTGTTAGCCCTACTCTGTCAGGGACCTGGGTTCTTGGTTTAGATGCAGTGATGGCGAACCTTTCAAAGCTTTCAGTGATACAAGCAGCCGGCTGTTCATGCGTCCCATAGGTCTCCACCACTGGCTTAGACTGTGGTGCAGCGTCCTAACAATGATAGCTAAAAAGTAGCTGTGAAAGTTAACTAAGATGTTTAATTCATTCTGTATCCTTTTTTTTTTTTTTTTTTATTCTGTGTCCACATAAGTCCTGTGCAGTGCCATCTCTAATACTGTTACCTGTTAAAGGAAACTGGGGCTGTGTCCTTGCTCTGTTGGCAGAGGTTAGGAGGGCAGAGTAAGTAGTAGGAGGTTTTGTATCGGGGAGAGAGAAACTGAACACAGTTGAACACTGGCAAGGCCATTGTCATCTAGTACATATTTGTTGGGTGGATACTTGCAGAAATGGCTGCAGGAACACAATGGTGGAGCTGTTTCACTACAGAGACTGTAACGGAGCTTGGTCGTGCTGGACAGGGAAGAGTGTGCCTGGTGACTTGTGATGAGGTTAAAGTTTGCACCCTTCTGTCAGAACTGTATTGCAGTTGTTGATTCATGTATTCATTGAACAGAGGCACTTGCTACCTTATGAAAACAAACTGCTAAGTGGGACAATGCTAAGATGAAGGGATTTCTGTCTTCATAAATCTGGAGATAGCCCAGTTCTTAGCATATAGCTGGGTCTCAGGAAATGAAATGCATGAATTCTCTTTGCATTCCCAAAAAGTAACTTTATTTTTCTCTTTGACTCAGTTCAGCTTTGTGACATCATCAGTACAAAGCTTGTCATTATAGCCTTTTTTTAAAAAATCACTTGGTCAGTAGAAACTATTACAATGGAGTGGTAGCATTTCCCAGGGGGGCTGTGTAAGGATTCTAGGAGCACCTAGATCAGAGTCCAAGGGGCGCGTCCTTGCCCCAGCCCTGGGTACAAAGTGTACTATAAATGACATCTTTCAACAGAGGATGAGTTTGATAATAAAATGTGATAGCAGTAGTATGGAGAGATACTAATGTATTTGAAGCTCTAATAGTATAAAACCGTATGCTAGTTTTATAGACAGTATCATGTAATCCTAGCAACAATCATAAAACAGTGGGAGTTACTTTAATTTTATAACATACTACATCACAGGCTAATAAAATAACTTGCTCCCAATGACAGGCAAAGGAAGAAACATAATTATTGGAAGTAAAGTTACTCTTTATTACAAAAGTAGAGCATCACCAACGTTAGTTTTATTGTAATGCATTTAAAAATCTGTAAGTTGTGCCTTGAACATGTACATGCTGTTGTATGTGAACTTGCATGAAGTACAAGTATTAAAACTTTTTGCCAGGAAGCAGTTTATTCTAAAACAAGACTAACCTTAAAATTCAAGGGTCATTTCACTCAGGAAGAAAAATAAGAGATCTTTACATGTTTTGGAGAAATGCCAAACAATTGCATTCATTCATAAGTAGGTCAAATGAACTCTTTCTCAAACGATAGATTAAAGTCCTTGTTACACTGGGCGTGATGGGGCATGCCTGTAATCCTAATACTGGGAGGCTCAGAAGAATCACTGTGAGTTTGAGGCCAGCCTGGGCTACATAAGTGAATTCAAGGATATGGTGAGACCCTGTCTCAAAAAAAAAAAAAAAATCCTTGTTATGTCAAGGAGTAAATAAAATCATTTAATGCATAAGAAAAAATTACAGGATAATTCAAAACCAAAATAAAAATTACAGGATAATTCAAAAACCAAGTAAAATTAATAAGGAAAAACTTTATTTCTTACTGCTTTTTTTAGTTTTCTTAAATGTCATGACCCACATTTATCAGAGGAGTAATGAGTAATATTTAACATTTTTATAAGAGTCGCAAAAACTAATTTCGTTTTTTTTTTTTTTTTTTTTTTGTTTTTTTCTCCAGTACCAGGAACCGAACTCACGACCTTGCGCTTGCCAGGCAGGCGCTTTTGCCGCTGAGCTAAATCCCCAGCCCCGCAAAAACTAATTTCTAAATTCTTAAAACTTCAGCTTTTGAGTTTGAAATTCTAGTAAAGTTGGAGTAAAGCTACTTTACCATTTCTCTATTGCATATTAAAACTGAAGCCCTTAGGAAAAAATATACCACTGTCAGAATTCTGAGACATAAAAAAAATATTTGGAAGGGAAATAACAAGAGTGACCTGTATAGTCTCAAGTTTCCTGGTTTTGTTTTATTGTTTTTGTTTTTCTCCTGTGTGTCTTAAGTCTTAGGGTATCCCAAATTAGCAAATATAGACAGGAAAAGAAGTGCTCAAGATACTCTGTCCTTTGGCCAGAAGTAGGGCGGAGGCCCTAGAAGAGTTGTGGAGGATATTCCAGGTTTTAGAAGAGTTCTGTGAGTCCATCCTGTGCAAGGCTCAGTCATGAAGCAGCACTTCCTTAACAGTGAGTGGTAGCCGCGCTGGTACCGGAAAGTCTCTGACCGGAAATAACCTGGAGAAGAAGTCCCTGTGGTCTAGAAAGTATGGGAGAAATTCCCATTTTC